GAACTGAGATTTGCCTTGAGATAAAGTAACTTAAGGGTTCTTGGACCACAATATCACCTCCTTAATGAGAACTTCCTGTTTCCTGGTACCTTGTTTTTCTTTTCTTTTTGATATATTTTTTATTAATTTCAGAGAGAAACATCAATGATGAGAGAGAATTGATGGGCTGCCTGCTGCACGCCCCCCATGGGGGATCGAGCCCGAAACCCAGGCATGTGCTCTTGACCGGAATCGAACCTGGAACCCTTTGGTCCGAAGGCCAGTGTTCTAGCCACTGAGCCAAACCGGCTAGGGCGATACCCTGTTTTTCTTTTGGTTAGTATATGCTAGTGAGTCGAATAGTTTAGACTTTTGAGGCAAGACTTAAATATATGTGTATATTTGCTTTTTAGCAGTTTAACTCATAGTCAAGTTACATTCACAGTTCTCTGGGCCTCAGTTTCTTATTGATTAAAAATTAGAAAAATAAATAAATAAATAAAAATAAAAAAATAAAAATTAGGCTCATTGTGAGGATTAAATGAAATAGTAGTGATTAATGTTTAGCAGTGTCTCCCATGTATTTTAGTACTTAGTAAATGTTTATTTTTAAAAAAAATCATAAGACAGACAGAAGATGGCCATAAAGGGCAATGACCTGGTATGTCCAAAACCAAGGGAAGCTCATAGCTAGGCCTATTTCCTCCTTTCTTCCCAGGATCAAGTAAGTGTATTTGTGCTTCTAGGAGGCTCATCATTGCCTGAAGCAGGCACAACTTAGTTCATCTTTGACACTTTGAGAGAGAGGTTTGAAAAGTGTTTCTCTCCTATCCTCATCCCTCTGCTTTAAAAAAAAAAAAAAAAAAAAAAAAAAAAGCATTAATGAAGTATTATATAATCAGTTTAAACACCAGGCCTCTCACTAGTCGCAGTCAAGTAGCTACTTCAGCACCAGTTTTGTTTGGGGAAGAGCAAAGGAACAAAGATGCTCTGTATCTGTGCTTCCCAGCATTCCGGGTATGAATAATTTAGAAAAGTACTTGCATTGTGATAAGCTGTCCAGTGTGTATAAATAGCACCAAAACTTGCTTATGTTTTATTCTACTTTCTCCCAAACGAAAGAGTTGGGGAGCAAAGTAAGAACTTGAGTTATATTTGTCTAGGAAAGGGAGCCAGGAAACAGAGCATTTGGCCTGAAAGGCCCTTCAGTTTGGACAGCTCGCCTGTGGTTTTCATTTCCATCCTTGCTTGCTGCCCGAGAAGGATTGTTCAGGGCCTCCTGCTTGGCGGTGTCTGTTTCAGTCTGAGGACACGGCAATTTGTACTTGTCTCCGTCCTCCATCACTTTTGAGAAAGTTCACTGCTTCTTCATCAATCTGTACATACAGAAAGTAAATTAAGACACACTAAAGTTTGACCAGGCAGTAACTGAACACACGTCCCAAGGTTCTTGAGAGCCCGAACATCTGGCCTCCCATGGCCAGCTGCTTACCCAAGAGAGACACCATCTTGTCATTTTCCTACCCAACGTACATTTTTTTTAAGGTAGATACCACTGGTGTTCCCTTTGTTCCCTGTAAATGGTTAGGACTTTTCACTTGAGGCCACAAAAGCTCTTGTGGTTAGTCCCACCCCTTCTCTGGAGAAGTCAGCTCAGGTAACAGCACCCTGAGGTTACCTAGTTCATGCTTCATAGAAGCAATTTACCACTTCAAAGGAACGTGGCTTTAAAGAGCCTTTCTGGGCTGTGCTAGCTTGCATGATGGATGTTCTCCTTGATGAAAACCCCTACTTAATGCAATCACAGACAAGAAAGTGATTGGAGGTGGGGAAGGGGTTGGTGGAAGCCAGAAGGTGGAAAGCTGGTCGAATGTTGGAAATCTGGTTTTGAAGATGGCAGGATGCCTGGGGGTGGGGGGTGAGTGGAGGAATTAGGTGTGAGATGGGGGTGGGGTGGTTAGGAAGCAATTACCTGGACTGTTTTGTCCTGGAAGAATATGGACTATTTTCAATGACAGTGGTTTTGTTATAAACATTTTTTTTATTTTATTTATTTATTTTTAATATATTTTATTGATTTTGTACAGAGAGGAAGGGAGAGAGAGAGAGAGAGTTAGAAACATCGATGAGAGAGAATCATCGATCAGCTGCCTCTTGCACACCCCCTACTGTGAATATGCCCGCAACCAAGGTACATGCCCTTGACCGGAATCGAACCCGGGACTTTTCAGTCCCCAAGCCGACACTCTATCCATTGAGCCAAACCGGTTTCGGCTATTATAAACATTTTTAAATAGATGAAAGAATGTGAAGTTGCTGTAGTGTCCTTCACCGTTGAAGTGATCATTAAACAGACTAAAATTAGCTTCTGGAGTAGGCCAGCTGCCTACTTTGGAGGAGTTCTGCTTCAGAGAAGGACTTAGTGTTGCCTGCGGAAAGTCGTACGATCTATTTTCCTCGATTCAGATCTTTTTATAATGGGATTCTCAGTAGCCATGGTGTGCTAAGATGTGCAGGCTTTCAAATAACCTTCGGGTGGATCAGTATTCGTTGGTAGTTCTATTCAAACGGAGCTCTTATTTCTAGCTGTTGACCTACATTTTCACAGGCTGGTGAACTTTCCTATAGGAAGTGGCAGGCTCACCATTGGAAAGACTGCTTGCTTTCTACATCTTCCCCAGTTAGCGAACCATCTAGATGAGGACGGCATCCGGTGCCCTGGGCCCTGAGGATGTGCGTGAGGGGGTTCTTGTTCAGCCTGCACAGCAGCCTGTGAGGCAGCAGTTGTGGAGCCAGGACTTGGGCTGCAGCGGGGATTCCCCCGGGGCCTGCATGGGCCTGTGTCCCTCAGGGCCTTCTTGCTCTCAGCCATATAGATGGACTCCAGCCACCTTGCTTCCTGTGCCTTTTCTAAATTGTTGGTGGGGTAGAAAGTTTCAGAGAAGCAAGCTCACTTTCATGCACAGAGAACCGTGTGGGTTCCTCTCACACGGTCACTGGCTAAGTAACCTTCTTTCTTGACTAGATTTGGTGTCATTAGTCATGCTCGTGATCCCCAGAGCTTGCTTTTTTAGCTCCTCATTTCCTGAAGTGACCAGCAGAAGCTTTCATTCCCTTTCCATCCTCCCATAGTGCTTTGAGAACGGGACAGGGTGGATTTATTGCTTTTTTAAATGATTTGACTTTGGTGGGAGATGAAAGCAGGTGGGCTTTGATCCGCAATGCCAGGGCCAGCACCTTTTCCAAGGATGCGGCAACCAACGGCAGAAAGCTAAGAGCCGCAGGCTTTCATTAAAGTCGGAGACACAGGTTTTAATTAAAGACTTGAGACACGAAGCACATACGTACTTACTATCCCAGGGCAGCTCTGGGGGACGGCAGAGTTGCAAACGCAGGTGCAGTGCAGGCCAGGAGCAGGGCAGTGTCAGAGGATCAGGCACCTGGGCAGGTTCAAGAGCCTGCCTGCCCAGGTCATTTGCCCATTCTGTCACTTTTCTGCTTCCGAGTATGGCCTTAGTTTCTTTTGTAACTGGACAAATCATGGATCTGCTCTGCCTGTCACTACTTGCGAGCCAGTGCAGCAGAGACAGGGTTGAATCACCTATGAGCGGTTAACAGAGCATGATTAATATTTCTTACAATTGTAGCTGGTTCCCCAACATCCTGTTTCTGCCCCTATCGATGTGACTGCATCTCGGGGAAGGTCCAGTCCCGAGAGCTAACCCTCGTGTCCTGCCTCGCAGATCGGCGCCAGTGGTGTGCCATCGCCGTCCTCTTTGCGGTCCTGCTGGTCGTGCTGCTCCTCTTCTTAGTGCTGTGACGCACAGGACCCGGGAGGACGACAAGCAGCCCGCGGCGCCGGCTCCCACCTGCTGCTCTGGGGAACGCGGCCCGCGCTGACTTCCTCTGAGGGACCCCACTGTGGAGGCAGCTCCTCCGTCCAGTGCCGGAGGGGCCGTGGGAAGAGGACCTCACAACCTCACACTCCTGGCACCACCTGTCCCGTCCTCTGCTTTGCCTCCCTGGACCTCGTTCCCCGTGGAGGGCCTCTGAGGAATCCAGAAAAACTTGCAGACTTAGCTGGTGTTCACTGTTGCTCATTGCGTCCGTCCATCTCTGGCGGCTCTTTGCTCCTGCTCAGACCCCCCTGCTCAGCCGGCGGCCAGAAGGGAAAGGGGCTCCTGGGTCCCCTCCACTGCCCCGTGTGGGAGCATTTCTTAGTCCCTGAGAGCCGGTCATTCTGGGGACAGACGGCCCAGAAGCAGTTGGCGACGGAAAATGCAATGGCTGTTCTTGCAGGGATAAGAACCGGGATAAATTGCTTTTCCAGGCACATCTTTTTGTGGTAAGAACAACTAATGGGAATAATGAAAAGCACTGGGCTCTGGGAGTGCTAACAACTGGTGTCTTGAATTGAAAGGAGGAAGGGAACAGGACCTGAGTGTGCACAGGGGACAAGGTCACCGGAGGTCATAGCCTGGCTGAATTCAGGTGGCTGTCCTGCAGGCTCCTCCCCAGGGGGTGCAGCGTGTATTTTTAGGATGACCCTTAAACATATGGCTGCTGAGCAGCACACTTGAATGGATTTAAGTCCTGTGGCACTCTCTATCTTGGCAGATGGGGTTGGGAATGGTGAGCACAATCATTACATTTAGTCAGAACTGTAATGACAAAAAAGGCTAGTTCTGGACCGGGCTTTTCTAGCCCTGAGAAATGGCAAAAAGGGGTAGGTGAATTGGTTGTTCTTTTCCTTCAGATGACAACTTAATTTTTATCATCCATTCAAATCACTGAGCCAATCCAAATTTAAGTAATGGATGCTTCCGTTGAGTTTTAGTTGCTGAGACACTAAACTTCAAGCTTCTGGTGACTCGCCGTGCTTCCAGCGTGCCCATGTATATAGATATTTTTATAGCCTCCCTGATGAATAACCTAATACTGAAGTAGCAGCTGCACCTTCACCGTCTTCTTTTGCACGTGGGAAGCACAGGGACATCAGATGGAGTTCTGGCGTTGACTTCTCATTTCCTAATCTTTTGGGGTCCATTCCTAACTTTTTCAAAAATTTCCCCCTCCTTTTGTTTGTATTTCATGGTTTTTGTTTTGTTTGGGGCTTTTATTCCTCCTCTTTTTTTTTTCTTTCTTTCTTTTTTTTTTTTTTTTGTGATTTGCAATGATGTATTTGCCCAGCTAACTTTTGAATTGCACTTTTTAATAAATATTTGTAACAATTTTTTAAAGAAAGGGTATTTTCTCATGTGTAGGGTGCTGGCAGATATGTTGATGAAAGCTGAAAGCAGATTTACAAAACTCAAAGGGTGGTTGACACCCACGTTTACACTCAATTCTATTTGATATGTAAATAAGTTCATTTCTTTTCAAATGAGCATAAAAAGGTAATTGTTACAAAGGGCTTGAGATGTAGGGTACTAGATTATTTGTTTTACAAAGTTTCGAGATATTCAAATAGTCTTCTATAAACTCAGAAGAGGGACGGTCCTTAGATTTGCATTAAGATATACAGGTCTTTGTTAAAACTTTTTTTTTAATGTGGGCCTTGTCTTAGTACTCTCATCCACACTCTCCACCTTCCACGAAGGAACTGGAGTCTGAACTACATGACTGCCCTGCTTAAGATCCATTGCCGTCGTCCAAATTTACTGTGTCACGTGTGTCAGGAGGGTCTGCTGGGAACATGCCTGATCATTAATGAGCTAGACATCCCCTGACTTCAGGGACTACGTTTTGTGATTCTGAGGTTCAATGACTCAATGTTGGGATATATTTAGAATTGCTGACCTCACCCATTTCAGTGTTAGCTAAACAGTGGTTCTTGTAAAGCAGACTCACAGGCCAAAGCTGAATAGAGAAATATTCAGAAAGAGAACATTTACTGAAAATATAAGCACCATGTATGTTGTCCCTGTAGGCCACTGCCCTCCTCCCTCAAACGAGCTGTTCCTGGACAGCTGAAGCCTCAGAGCTGGCTCTGCCCCAAGCATCACTCTGGCCCCACTAAGCTTGATCTGGGGTCTGAGCCTGTTGTGCCTGGACTGGGCAGTCCCTACAAACGAGTGGTCAGGTCCCCTCTCCAGATTCCAAACTAGCGTTACAAGAGAACAACCCAGGCCCTGGCTGGTTTGCTCAGTAGATAGAGCATTGGCCTGCAGACTGAAGAGTCCCAGATTCAATTCTAGTCAAGGGCATGTGCCCAGGTTGCGGGCTTGATCCCCCAGTAGTGGGCATGCAAAAGGCAGCTGATCAATGATTCTCTCTCATCATTGATGTTTCTATCTCTCCTTCTTCCTTCCTCTCTGAAATCAATAAAAATTACATATGTGTCCTGAGTGGGAATCGAACCTGGGACCTTTCAGTCTGCAGGCCAATGCTCTGTCTGTCCACTGAGCCAAACAAGCTGTCTAACCTTTGGTCCCGTCTTTGTGGGGACCGGGAACAGTCGCAGTGTTCCCCGTGTGCCACTGCGTGCTGCAGTTGTGTGCTACATGAGCATCTTCGTGCCAGAGCCTGAAGGGGAGAAACTTGGTAACTTGCCCATCGTTCTCTGCTTTTAGCCAGAGTTAAACAGACTGATGGGTCTGGGAGCCAACGGCTTGGCAACTTCCCCTCTTTCTCACCTCGTGAGATTAAGGGCTGTGAAGAGAAATCCGGTCTAACTCCAACCGAAATCTGTCTGTTAAGTGCTGTACCTTCTGTACGTGAAGGTAGCAGAGCCAGGATTTTTCTTCTGGTAATTTTCCTGGCTGTAAAGGGAGCCCAGTACCTTTCCAGAGAATTCATAGCTTGGAAGAGCTAAGTACCGAATGATAGATACAAGTTGCTTTCCAACTCTGTAGACTTTGAGCTGTTCAGCTTTCCCTGACGGATTTGCAAACAACACAACATTTGGACCATCTAGAAAGCTAAGGTTCTAACTACCTTTAATTCTCCCTCTGTCTTCCTCTTGCTGGCATTTCTTTCCCTCCCAGATATTTTTAAGATTTTTTTTTTCTCCCTTAAAGAGTGTTCTTTGTCCATCAAGAACAGAGAGAAGGTAAAAGCAAAGGATTCTCACAGCCCCTCAGGCCCTCTGCAGCTTTCCTGACCAAGGTCAGTTCTGCTCACTGGGAAACTGTCGTCAGGGTCCAGGCCAGAAATCGACAGAGGGGAGAACAGCCCTTCCGATGGGAGCAGATAGGCCAGCCCTGCTGTGACCCTCAGGGCCTGGGTTGTTCTCTTCCACTGAAGCCCGGTGCTGGGGTGGAAACTCAACCCAGCTGACTTCTGGGGTTAGTGTCCCCTACAGGCTCAGTGGACTTGAACACTTAGTTCAGTCTCCTTGTTGCAAAAATGAAACAGTTACAGCTGCCCCAGAGACACGGGGTCATTTGGTGTGTTGCCTCTGGACTTGGCCCAGGGGCCGCACACCTGGGGTATGACTTAAGGTAGGCTGGTAGTAACTTGTCGTGTCACCCCAGCTGTTTGCCGTTGGACAAACAGTGAAGCACCTCCATCGTGTTGCTGCCACCTACATATACATTATATGGGAGTCCTCTATGTTACAGTGTCTTTACTGATACAGGTATCTGGGGAGCTGAGGAAGAAAGAAAAAGAACTTGTTTCCTTCTGAGATAAGCTCACATGTTGGTGCTGTTTTCCTTCTGGCGTGACCTTTGCCCTTGCCCGAGGCTGTGCCATGGAGCTATGCCTAGATCGCCCAGTGACCTGCCCTATTGCTTGGCTTTCACGTGGACATTTCATGGAGCCAGACCCTTGTGAGGAAGTGTATTTTACCGCTTTCTTTTTAAGGTTGAGTTTTCAAACCTAGAAGCCACTTGATTATTGAGGGGGTATTGGATTAAGACCATCCAGCATCCTTATCTTCTGACTGAACTCTCCCCGGCCCTGGCGGCAGCCAGTGCTGCACTCCAGTTAAGCTTCCTGTCAGCCCTGGGGTAGGGCCAAGTTCAAGGTGGCTCTTTCCTGCTCTGTAGAAAGTAGGGTTAGCGGAGACCCACTACTGAGTGGCAGTTTCGACTGCAATTAAGGTCTGTTGTGGGAGAGGCAGGTGTCCTCATCCTCGGGGTGAGGAGAGGCCAGCCAGGTGTCCTCGGTAAGGTGTCGCTGATACGTTACTGGACCTGCTCGTAAATGCCATGTGATTGTGTCCTAACTGACCCAGGCTGGGGGAGCACCCAGGGTAATAGCCTGGAAACAGGGAAGGGCCAAAGAGAGCAAGCTGTAAATGATTATGGATCCGTGTTCTGTAAGTGGAAATATACCTTCACTAGCTCATTTGTTATTAGAAATCGGTGTGATTTAAAAATAGAATGTGTAATCCGTGGCAGCGCTCAGCAGGACTAACCCATCTTTCTCTCGCAAGGATAAATAACCTTATAGCATTTTTAATTACTAGAAGGTACAAACTAAAGTGAGATCAAGGACTGGAACGGAAAAGACCTGGGTGATTTCCTCTGTCTCCAACCCCCAGGGAGAGCACCAGAGCCCTGGGGCCAGGCGTTCACAGTCCTGGCCACAGGAAGGTAAAGCATGCTTCTCTTCTCTACACGGTGGGTCTCCAAGTGTGCTGTGGGGCCAGCGATGGCAGCTTCCTGTGGGAACCTGCTAGAAACACAGGTGCACAGGCCCCACCCTGGCCTGAGTCCCGGCCTGGGTAGGGCCAGCAGCCCGTGTTCAGCAAGCCCCCTAGGAGCTCGGAACCCCTCTCCAGTGTGGGAACCACGGCTGCATTGTGGAGGTTAGGCTGCAGTAAACGCTCCCTGCAAAATAATGTATCTGCCACAGCCTTCCTTGTAATCCTGACCTTAAACAAGATTTGATGACACTATAAACTTGAAAAATTTTTAAAAATACTTGTGTAAAATAAAACCTCAACTAGCCATCTTTTAAAGTGATATTTTTACACCCCAGAGTCTATCAGTAATGTTTCTTTCTTCTGCACTTGAAAATCATTTCACAACTGTATAAAGAATGCTCTTCAGTATTAAAAGGAAATGGGCAGAACATGAGCTTTGTCCTGGGTCATTTTTCTAAAAGTTTGGTTGGTTTTGTTTTTATTCTTTTCATACCTAACATGGCTTCTTCCCTTCCTTCTGCCCCACTAATAAACATGGACATACATGTGCACACGCCTGGGGGAGGGAAGGTCTAGCTGCTGGAAGATCTGAGTTTCTGGACCAGAGAAAGCTAAATTGTGCTTTCTTTGGTCAAGCTAGTTATATGGATTCTTAAGTCCCAAAATAACTATACTATGTATTCAGAATATTTTTTTTTTACTTTTATTTTTTAAATATATTTTATTGATTTTTCACAGAGAGGAAGAAAGAGGGATAGAGAGCTAGAAACGTCGATGAGAGAGAAACATCGACCAGCTGCCTCTTGCACACCCCCCACCAGGGATGTGCCCGCAACCAATGTACATGCCCTGACCAGAATCGAACCTGGGACCCCTCAGTCCACAGACCGACAGTCTACCACTGAGCCAAACCAGCTTCGGCAGTATTCAGAATATTTTAAAGCACAAGAGTTTCAGTTGGAACTAGGAATTGGGGGGGGGGGGAGGGGAGGGAGGGGCAGAGAGACTAAACACAAAAGGAAGTTAGTTCTTTACTTCTCCCCCCAGTGAATGTGGGGGAACAACACTGGCCATCGGGATTTGCAGGTGGAGGGGCCTGCCCTCAGGAGGCGGCTACTTAAGCTCGCTGAGGCCAGGGGTCTTCCACCCACTTGCTCTCATCACCCTTGCTCTTTAAATGAGCACCAGTCATGTGCCAGGCACTAAAGACTTAGTCCATTTTAACATGTATAATACTCAAAATGGCTGTGTGAAACTATGAAGTCTACACATCTAATATTATCTCAAATCTGAAGGTGATGGAACGGACACACACATAATTTCTCAAGGTCACACAGCTGGTGAGAGGCAGAGCCGCTTACTCTGCCCCTGTGCCTGGCACAAAAATGGGCTCCTCCGAGCTTCACAGTCCTGGCTTGATTTCCCCTAAAACTGTAACAGCCAGCTTAGGGGAGGAAAGGCAAGTCAGACACTAACCAGCCTTGCTGAAGGGGTGAGTACCTATCTAAGAGGTATGGTTCACACTTGAGGAGGGAGAGATTTAGAAAGGAAATGGTTATATGTATTCCCTAATGAAGGCAGATCACTGCCTCCTCTGAAGGCAGAGGTGTGGAGCAATGAAAAAAATTTGCATAAGGACACAACTAGCAAGCGCTACAGCTGGAACCCATTACATAGCCTGCCTCAAAAGAAAAAGACGCCATTTCAGTAGTGGCAAGCAGATGTTTCACTAAGCTGCCTTTCTAACCAGAGAAAAGGTGGAGGATGGCTGAGAGGGAGAGATCAAAAGAGCTACAAGTCCGCGGTAGATTATAGCATTGACCACCTAGCCGTGCCCAAGATAAAGCATGGCATCCTTGCCATGGATTTGACCACATCTCAAACCCTATGAGCCCACAGTGGTGTTTAAGAAACCTGGCCAAGGCAGGTCAGCCTTGATAAAATACAGGGTTAGGCAAAAGTAGGTTTACAGTTCATGTGGCGGGGATATGAGGATTACAACAGCTTTATTAACTCAATGTTACCATGAAACTGTAAACCTGCTTTTGCCCACCCCTGTATGTTGGAGCTTTTACGCGGCTGGAAATATGTGCAAGAAGTGAGTCGAACTCATTGTATAAACTCAGAAAAGCTGGAGGCTCAGTCTGAGGAGCCCAGGATGAGAATCAACGTTGAGGCATCTGGATGCCGCTGTGTGCTCCCGTGCCTGCCAACATTCCTTGTTCCTGAGATAACACCAGAGCTGGATGGAGGCTGGTGAGCCTGGGGCTGGCTTTTCTGGGAAGACTTTCTGCTCACCGGGTGGAGTGGGGCTCCTGCCTGGCGCTTCCATTGTAGCCCTTGGCACACTGGTTTGTCTCTTTCCACAGCTGTAGCTGCCTCCCCCTGGGGATATGGGCTTCCCGAGGGCAGAGCAGGTCTCTCCCCAGTGCCTGGCACCCAGCCAGATCCCTAAGGGCAGCTCCTCGCTGCCAGGAGTCCCTGCCTAAGCCCAGAGGCAGCAGGGCAAGACAAAGGCAGGCCCAGCAGGCAGCCCGGCATCCACAGGAGAGCCCGGGATACCCTCCAGGCCTGGCAGGGCAGCTCTGAAGGCCTGACTCCACAGGCACATGTCTGAGCCAATCCCAGCAGCCCCTCCTGGGGGCCCAGCACTCCAACCTGGTCAAACCTGCAGTCTGAGAGAGCTGGGCACAGCTTCTAGCCAAGGAAGGCTGCTGCCATTTCTAAGCAGGTGCTCTGGCTCTACAGGGAAAGAGGGACACTTTCACAGAGGATGGGGGGAGGGGAGGGTGTCCAGTGAATAGCTCCAGAACCAGCCTGGGGATTTGGGTGGGAAATGCGTTGGGCAGATGGACCAGGAATGTCCAGTTGTTGCCAGGTAAGTTTGGCAGGATAAAAAGCAAGTTTGTATTAAAAGGACCACAACAAAGAACCTTGGTTCCAGATTCTATGGAAGCTAGGAGGAGGGGCCAGCACCCAGTGCCAGGGAATGCTTCTCAGAGCAGGCACCTCTAATATCTTTGAGGGCTGCCCGGGAGCCCATGGGTGGACAAGGGGAAGGGCGTCCCAGCAAAGGCACAGATAAGCGAAGCAATTGGGTGGGTGAATGAATATGTGAAGTTGGCGCATGCCTGGATCAGGGAACCAGTAACCCAAACTCCTGCCAATAAATAAGTAAATACTCACATGGGAATCGGGAACCGTACTGCCTGGAGGCCAGTTGGAGGACCAGGAAGTCCAGTCATATTGCACTCCACCCCGGGATCGGGGCCTCCTCGACCACAGGGATGGAAGACCAAGGAGCCTCCTTCCCAGGCCAAGCACACACTGACCAGAACCCAACCCAGGAAGGTTTTGGTAGCCGCCAGCAGGTAGCTCACAACCCCAAGAAGCACAGGGGCCAGACTGAGGGACCAGACTGCCTTGACCCCATCCCAACCCCCACCTCCAGAGCAGGGCCATTAACAACACTAAATTACAACAAACCGTTCCCCACACAAAACCTACTCTTGCTCTGTGAGAGGCACATTTTTCTAAAATGCTGGTGTTGACCCACAAGACAGCTTTTGTGATTCCCAAGTGAATCATGCCTACAGTTCAGAATCACTCAGGAAACTGAACTGTCAGTCCTTCCTTACCCCAGCGAGAGCAGGTGGGAACGCCGACCCCATTTCCCTGCAGGAAAACGGAAGCCAAGCCTCTTCACGGAGGCCAGCCTATTCGGGCCAAGGAGGATCCTGGGCGGGGCTCCTGGTAAGGAGAATTCCGGGAGGGCGGATGGACTCAGGCTGGGAGTTAGAGCGCCAGGTTCAAGTCCTCCCTTTGCTAATTATTTGCTAATTTAACCTCTGAGTTTCTGGCTCCTAGTTTGTAACGCGGAGATAAGTGATTTCTCCCTCACAAAATGGCCCTAAGGTTTCAGCGTTGTGTTCTTGGTAATGTCCACACATAGCTCTGGAATGCCAGTATTTGTGGAGGGGACAGCACATGCCTCAATTCCCAGGTTAACCTTGATTTCCCAAATTTGAGCCACACTGCAGTTCCTCTCTCATGCATGAGACCTGGGCACGCACCAGGTCCCCACCCTGCGTCCCTCCTCACCATCAACTTTTAGTACCTGGTGTGAATCGAGATCTGGACACACAGAGTACCATTGACCTGCCTCATGGTGGGGGTGGGGAATAGGTGAGGCACAGGAAACAGCCACACCTTTGCACATGCCGTTCATTTTCTGTGCCACACCATCCTTTCCCTCTCCCTTGTTGTTAGGGCCCCTCGTTTTACAGAACCCCGGGTGGCGCACCTCCTCATTGGCCTCCCTCCCCCAGTTGATCCCTGAGCACTCCCAGGCTCCTTACCCCACGTCCCCCAGGAGCCAGCTTCTCCTGCTGCACACACCTGGCCTTGTGGTAAGGGTTGAGCGTCTTTCCTAGATTCTGGCAGCTTGAGGCAGAGCCCGTCTTTCTCATCAACCTGAGCTCCTGCCTGGCACATGGCCCAGGTCCTAGTTCTAAGTGAGGGTTCTGGTGGTCCTGTGGGTGACACCAGGCCGAACCCTAGGCAGCAGAGATGGGAAAGGTCAGAAGGACATTTGGAGGAACCAAAGTCCCCTCCCACCTAGACAAGACAGGGCCCTGACATCGCTTTACCTTTTTGGAATTAGAGCAAGGCATGGCTACTTCACACAGTCCAAAGTGCCTCTCCCCTTCCTCTTCCTTACTTCTTCCCTCTCCCCCTCATTTCTATGCAAATGAGGGATCCAAGTTTGCACAGCCTGATTGGTCCAAATAGTACTGTCCTGATTGGTCAGAATTATGTGTTCTGATTGGTTATTATGGAGCTACTCTGATTGGTCAACAAATATACAAATGAGGCTACAACTGTGCAGTTCTGATTGGACAGGGCAGGTCTTAGCCCATTGGTTGAAACAGGATCCCAGATTTGGCTCAGGTGGCAAGAACACTGCAGAAAGCTTGGCGCCTCAGTCTGTGGCTTCTCTCTAACATGCAGAGTGCAATACAGGCCTCTGTAAACAATGGCTGCTAGGCTCTGATTATGAATTTGGGCCCTTTTAACCAGGAGGAGTCCTTTTTGGAAGGTATAATTCTTGGGTCAACATGTAAAGGCCAGTAATTGGCATATAGGAGCCACCAGGGTTTCCCCATGCCTGTGGTTTCCTGTTATGTGGGGCCATTTCTATATTTTGGGGGCTCCAGGTTGGTCTGTGAGGTGTCCCAGTCCCTCTTCACACCCTGAAGGCTTCCCATTCCTTGGCCTCTCTACTCACCTGCTACAGCCTTCCCATTCTTCCTTCATCTCCCACTGCAGGTCGGCCCAGCCTCTTCATCCTGCTGTGCGTGAGGCTCTGGGAGTCCCCTCACTCCCCTAGCCTCCAGGGGCAGTAAGGAGGGGTTTTAACTGGCTCCTATGCATAATACCCTAGAATGGGAGAATACTCACCCTCCACAGGATTGCTGCCCCCTCTTCTCATCTTTCTCTTAGGCCCCATGCTTCCTTCAGTGACTTTGTTTCTTGAAAGCTGTTTAACATTCATTTTAACCGTATTTATTCTGACCACAGTCTGCACCCGGCCAAGTTCTAAAACAGCCATGAGCTGCCCACTTCACCCTCCAGTTGCACCTCAGCTTCATTCCATCTCCTGCTCATAAACGTACTTTGCCAGGGCTCCTCTCCCAGCCCTAGGACTGACTCTGGAAGTTTCTGCATCTATACTGTCATCCCAACCCCAGGTGCCTCACCAGCCTTCCCCTCTGGCATGCCCAACACTGCCCACTGTAGTGCCCTTGTCCTCCCTTCCTCCCCCCCACCCCCAAGCCTCTGCTGTAAAGGTCAAGCAATCGAGCGAGAGTGCAGCCCAAAATATAGCAACTCAGGATAGAAGCTTCAGCTTTGGCTTTTAATAAATTAAAATGGACACATGGCCACCCACTAGCCCTTTGGGCAGTGTTCATTCCTAGAGGAGGGGAGTGACCAGGTGGGACAGCACATCCTCTGGGCCTGTGCCCTGCCTTCTCCCTATGGGTTGGCTGATCCAGAACTGCTGTCGGGGAGTCTGGACAGAGAGCTTGTGGCTGAGGATTGCATGGCACTGGCTGCAGCTGTGTCCAAGCTCAACAGAAGGAAGACAGAGGCCTTCATGGCCAGGCTCCGGTAGCTCCAGCCTCGCTCTGGGCAAAGGCAGAGGCAGAGGCAGGGCAGTGAGGATGGGGCCAAATTGGTCTCAATTTCCTTTTTTCCCCCTTCAATCTTATATATTACAAAAAAAAATTGTAATATTCTGATGACCAGATCACATCTCCTAGATGTTTTCATACCAGACCACATGTTCCAATGTTTTTGGTTTGGAATATGGAAAAAGAGCAGAGGTGTGGAGTGGGAGCTGGAAGAAATGAGCTGGGAAAAGGCAGCTCCAGGCAGACATGGCCCAGCACTGTCTTTGGTTCAGGACTGTTGGAAGCTGCAGGGGCCCTTGCGTGGGATGGGACCTGAAGTTAAGGCGATGCTCAGGGACCAACCGAATGGATTCCATGACTCTCTTTTCTCTTCCTGCCAACAAAGGTGCAGGATGTAGGTGACACCACCCCGGCTTGGGCACACATATTTTCTTCTCCTTGTTTTGCACAAATTACACCCTTAAACAAAATATCCAAGTAGGCCCCTTCCCTCTCGCCACCCTGTTCTTCCAAGTAGCTTTGTGCAGTCCATTCCCAGTCACCTCCTTCCCACATGGACACTCATGGCTTCTGAGGGAGTGACATTGAGGCCCAGAGCACCTCTGAGTCACTGCGGGATAGGCCTCTGCCTCAGCACACGGAGGGACAAGCTCTCTGCATGGGTCAGGAGCTCCTCAATGTGAGCCAATCCCAGCCCTGCAACCTTGGCCCCGTTCACCTCGAGGATCTCATCCCCCACCCCCAGCAGCCCCGAATACAGCTTGGCCGTACTTGCATCAGCCATCTCCTGCACATAGAAGCCTGCAAAGGAAAACAGGAGAACTTAACAAGTGAAATTAAAGACATGCAACTCTGGCACGCTGACCACGTGGGTGCTGTTTTTTTTTTTTGGGAGGGGGGGACAGGGATAGGGGCAGCTGCTCATACAGGGGACTTCTGCACACACACATACACACACACACACACACACACACACACTCACTCACTCATTATTCCCACTCAAAATCACAACTACTAGATATAGAGATATAGTATAACTTCATTTCTCCATTTCCTCTTTTAAAATGCCCTAGTGCAAATAATGCTTTCAGCTGGAATGGTTCACATATACCCCAGTGTGAATGAGCTAATCTTAGCTTTTTCTGAAATGAGCTTTGATTTTAGAATAGGAAAATAATGTGTAAAAATAAGGAAAATGACCTACGATGTGTCCAGCACTGTGCTAAATGGCCCTCACAAACAAACTCCATTGCTGCCCTCAGGTCGCCAGAGTGGGGGGCAAGAAGGGGGCAGCATCACTGAAGTAGCTGAGGCCCAGTCCAAGCCTGGCTTGCTTCCTGGTATTGTCTAGGGCTAGCCCTGGCCCCAGTCTTCCTTGGGTATGGTCCTCACTTGGAACTCAAAGGCTTCTGGGCAAAAGCCCAGAAACATAAAAATCCTACCCCCATATGTTGCCAAGACCGGTTTGGCTCAATGGATAGAGCGTCACCTTGGGGACTGAAAGGTCCCGGGTTCGATTCCGGTCAAGGGCATGTACCTTGGTTGCAGGCATATTCACAGTAGAGGGTGTGCAAGAGGCAGCTGATGGATGTCCGTCTCATCAATATTTCTAACTCTCTATCTATCTCCCATCCTCTCTGTACAAAATCAATAAAATATATTTTTTAAAAATCCTACCCCCATATGTAAAGATACAGTGGCTCCTTTTCCTTTCTTCATCTCCTCCCCCCCCCCCCCCCCCCCCCGCCCCTGAGAGGCCCTGCCTGGCCGGTATGACCATTCCGAGGTCTCCAAAGTGCATTGGGAGCCTTGGGAGAACCCACTCCTTCCCTGGGGCTGACTCGGGGAACCCACGTTGGTGGGACAGGCTTGGTGGGACCTCAGGGCTGGATAGGCCAGGTGACCCTCGCCTCTCCTGGCCACACAGTGCCCCTCTCACCAAAACTTCTGCTGAAAACCTTTCAACCCCCTTCAGCTGCTTCCACCTAAGGCCGTGGTCGGCAAACCACGGCTCACAAGCCACATGCGACTCTTTAGCCCCTTGAGTGTGGCTCTTACACAAAATACCATGGCCTAGGTGAGTCTATTTTGAAGAAGTGGCATTAGAAGAAGTTTAAGTTTAAAAAATTTGGCTCTCAAAAGAAATTTCAGTCGTTGTACTGTTGATATTTGGCTCTATTGACTAATAGGTTTGCCGACCACTGGCCTTAGGGATTAGAAGAGGAGCAGACTCTTCCAGGTGAAGCTGGTGAGCACAGGTATCTAAGAGCACCAGCCCAGGTCACTGGAGGGCCACAGGGGGTGATTGACACCATGGGGCAGAATTCAAGGTGAAGGGAGACGGACTTATCGAGACCTCAACACCCTCCCTGCTGCCAGCCCAGGCTCAGCTGGCTCCCTCTACACTGAACAGCTGCCTGAGCATCAATCCCACCTCCTCTTCCTGGAACCGGCTTCCTTAGAAGGGACACGAAAGGGCAACTTGCCCAGCTCCTCGGTCTCTGACCTAAAGCCATTTAACACATCTTGGACCAGTGGGAAGTCATCTCTCTGATCCATGCATCCCAGCCTCTAGCCCCAACCATCAAGCTTTTCAGAGCCCACCCTGTGAAATCTGGGTTTGAATGTATTATACATTGAAATCTCCTCTGAGGTACCTGAAGGTTTGTAGCTCTGGGTTTAGCAAATCCAATCTTTTGTCAAGTTCCCTATCGCTGGGCTGAGTTGGGGAGCCCCTTTCGGTGCTTCTCAGCCACCCTCAGCCTTTCCTGAGAACCTATCTCCCTCCAATAAGATACATTTGTCACTTTGACTGCACAGGCTTCTGTCTCAGAGGCCCTATCATCCACCTCTTCTATCTGGGTGTTTGAGCTGCTTGCTGGCCTGTCTGCATGTTGGAAAAAGGCAGGTAAAATGGGGAGAGGTGGAGACTGTAGAAATGGCTGCTATACAGCAGGATGTGAGATGGGGAGTGTTGAGAAAACCCAAAAGAATGCAGCCAGAGTCAGACCAGACACAGATGTCACGCCAGCCCTTTGAGGGAGACTCTGGGGTAGATTTTAAAACTGAAAGTCATGACAAAAATATGACAGAGAGACTGCTATTGTAAGCATTTATTGGCTGCTGGGCACGGCCTTTGTTAAGGATGCATGCTCCTTATGCTGCATGAGAAGCAGAAGGTAAAGCCTGCTATTCTCTCATGCTTGTATAGAATCGGATGTGGTAGCCAGCAAGTTAACACCAGCATCTTGACTTGTTAGGAAGGACTGCAAACCAACCCCAGCCCACAGCGTCTCCGAACCCAGGAAAAAGGACTTGTGGCTGCAGGCGGACGGCTTGTAGCCTGGAGGCCCTGTTCCGCATGCATGGAGGTCTCTGTGACATCCAACGGCTAACTGCAGCAGCAGAGGCAGGACACCACCTGGCAGGACAGGGAAGAGCTCTCACCAACCAGGTGAGGGAGCCTGGGAGACTGGGCCAGGGCAGAGCCCGAGGAGCCCTTGGTGATTACAGACCCCTGCCCATCAGAACTCCATGACAAGTGATGGGGGAGAGGCTCCCACTGCCTGCAGAGGGACCTAAAGGGCCTTTTGGGGAGTGTTGGGAGGGGGGAGGGGCAGGCAGAGTACATGCTTGGTTGTGTGTGATCTCACACTGACAGATGATGCCAGTTCCCATCCGGAATTCTGCTCCCCAAGTACATTCTCTTTCTGAACAAAGAAAGTGAAGAAAAGCACCAGGCACTTTTCTCTGTGCACCCCTGAATGCTCCTTCTGACCACCCTTCACCCCCCCTATCCCCTGCCCCCCTCCCCACCCCCCTCCCCAGGAGCTCGCTCCGAGGGAGGGACCCGGATGCACAGGCAGGCACATTCCGCGTGCCCAGACACACTCAGCAGCTGGAGGAGGGAACCATTTAAACACATCGGCCACATCAAAGAGACTGCCTCTGAGAGCTGGCAAGCACAGACAGTCTCCCACTGGCTCCCCAGAGAAACGTTGGCCTTCAAGATTCTGATTTTAAGAATGTCTGTCACCAGACAGCAGAGGGACAGTGGGGTCAGGCCTGCCGATAGCTACCCCCTCCCACAGCCCCTGCGGGGAGAACTCTAGTCCTTTTGATAAGAGGCTCTCTGAACCCAGAGCTCCACTGCTCAGCCAAAGGCCAGAAAAAACCTCCGACGACCTCCAGTGCGGTTTGCTAAGGTCCCAGGGCTGCGGGGCCCAGAAAGCAGAGGGAGCATACCTGAGTCCCGGCGCCCATTCCCGGAGGCCACGCAGAAACCAAACGTGCCCTCGGGTGAGCGCTGCAGCTGCAGCTGACTGGTGCCGTCCGGGAACACCTCCACCACGCGGCCCACGGTTCGGGCCAGGCTGGGGGCACCCACGTCCTCTACGCTGAGCGCACGCCGGGGTGGGGCCTTGGCTAATCTGCACGAGAGCGGACACAGAGTGAGGGCAGCGAGGGCTGGCCCTGCGCTCCAGGCCCTCGGCTTAAAGAAGACTCGCTTCTCTGCTGACAGCTGGGGCTCCTGCACGAAGAGCCTGCTGGTGCTGAGACTGGCACACCCGTCTGAAGCCCCTCAGCCTGCCGCTGCGCCAGAAGCCCCGGCCCATGAGCAAAGTTTTTAACCTTTTCAGGTGCAGAGAATTCTCTGAGAACCTGATGAAAACTGTAATTTTATATAAAATTTCCAGGAGTTAATGGACACCCTGGAGTCCCTCCATGGAACTCCAGGTAAGAGCAGCTAACCTAGAGGGTCACAGGTCAAGGGCCTTCTCCAGGCAGGGTCATAGGTCAAGGGCCTCTTTTGAGGTCCCTGTCTCTGGATCTTTAATTTGATCTTTAGCTGAGCTGAGGAAGCTCTCTGAACATTCTGATTTCAAGATGTCATCAGACAGCAGAGGCATGGAGGAATCAGACCTCCCAATTTCCCCCCTTTCAGTAGCTCACACCTTCTCAAAGCTCAGCTGCACATGAGGTGCGGGTTCCAAGACTCCTGTGGCACCTGAGGCTCAGAGGATTGACCTCTTTTTCTCTTAAATGGGATCCCATTCAGAGCCATGCTGCTGAGGCAAGAAGTCTAGCTTATAGCTCCATTGTCCATACTTAGTTTGTCCTCCAAACCACTTGTCCACTCGCTCACTCTTACCTGCCAGGTTCGCTGTGGTCCCCTGGCTCCCCTACCAGGTACAGGCTGGACCGGTCCACCTTGCCACTCAGCAGGGAATGGAGGTTCTGAAAGGAGGCCGCTTTCCGACGTTGGTGAGAGGAGGACACCTAGTGGTAAAGGTCCAATATTGCAGGTGAGAAAAGCCACCTGGCAAAGGGTTGACAGAGACTTGACACCCCAACCCTGACCCTGAAGGCCCTCACTCAAAGTAACAGTAGGAGTTTTTGTCACTACTTCAAAGTGCTTAACAGGAATCACCATAATTTACGCAAGTAGATGGGTCCATACAGGTGATATGATCTGAAGCTTCCAGGTTTTGGGTTTTCTTGGCTGAAATAACAACTTAGTACTATAACACTAATTACCACACTGACTAAGAAAATTAGTTTTCTTGTTAAGAAAAAAAAGTGAAATGAAATTAATTATAGGATAACAAACGCAATTTTAGAGTTAAAATGTTAGTGTGTTTTTTGTGTGTGTGATTCTTTAGTATATCTGTCCTTTTTATGATCCGTTACATTCAAAAATTTTTATCTAAGTGTGCATCTCAAACCATTGTGAATAAAAAGATGGGAAAGACAAAAATCCCTTGAGAACTTCCCCCAAGTGGTGGATGTGGGTGGGCACAGGTAAGTGAAAAGCCCTGAATGCACTAGGAAGTGCTCGGTTGAAAGTGCAGACGATATGCAGGGAACCAGGAAGGGATTTTGTGTAGCTTAGGAAGAATTGGGACACTTAGAGAAGCTGACCCCCGAGTGAGGCTTGAGGCAGGAACTAGGGAGGTGAAAACAGGGGCAGAGTGCTCCAGGTGTGAAGACGTGGAGAGACCAGGGAAAACATGCTCGGCTCTGGGTCACACGCATGGTCTGGTGGCTAGGCTGCCGAGGTGATGGGAGGTGGGTTGGAGCAAGGGGCCGGCCCTGGAAGGGCCTCGGATGGCCTGCGAAAGGGCCCCTGAGTGGTGCTCATCTGAAGAGTTACAAAGTCTGATCTGTGTTCTGGAAACGGACCCATTCATTGAGGAGCCCATTTGGAAGGTAGGAATGGAAGGGAGAAGCAGACTTTAAACAAATGTTACAGACGTGTATTACATTTGGAATCCATGCTCTAGAGAAATAAGGCATATTATCAAGAAATTGACTAGGGGGTTGGAGCTGATTTATATCAGAGTTCAAGAAGGCTTCCTGGGAGAAGTCATGTTAACTCAGACCTGAAGGACAAGCAGGGGTTTCCCGAAAAGAGCCTTCCAGATGCCAGTTTAAAGGTAAAGAGCTACAGCCACTGGAGGATGTGGGCACATCAGGAGAGAGAACAGGGCTGCTGCCCACTCAGGAGGGTAAAATAGAAACCAAGCTGCTGCAGCATCCAACACCATCACCTCCCTCCCCTTACCCTGCATCTGGCGACACAACAGTCTAACAGGAAGTCATTCGCCCTGAGCTATGTCATGAATAGTTCTGGGAGAGACAGATGGGTTCTTCTTTTATCCTCTTTTCCCAGTTCTTGCACATTTCTTTCTACTACTCACTCCGCCCATTCTCGGCAGCTTGCTCTCTCTCTTCACCCACTCTGCTTACATTGCTGACAACATCTCTACTACACTAACATTGTTGTCACTTCCCTAGAAGGATTTACAGAGGCCAGAGCTCTGAGGGCAGCACACCAGGCGCCCTGGCTCAGATATACAGGGGACAAGTCTAACTTCATGGGGAAAGTGAATTCCTGGAGCATGGTGTCACTCTCGGATCCTCTTCCCAGCTTAGATAAGGCTGTTTTGTTTTTGTGTTTGCCTTCCATTCATTCATTCATCCAGCAAATGCTTATTGAATGCCGACCACGTACCAGGTAGTGTGCCTGTAGCCAGACTGAAATGGAATTTTCATTCAGTCTGAAAATAAAAGGTTCCAGTGTGGCAAACCATAATCACCTGCTTCCTTCCGCCCAGGAAGGGGAGCAGAGACTAGAAGAACAAGCATAAAACATGGAAACACCTGGAACAGAACAGGGTTTTCAGAAACCTAGTTGAGCCAGTGAGCTGCTATAGGTTTACCCTCCAGCACCTGGGGAGGGAGAATTCAGCAGGCTGCCCTGCATCCACTCACTCACACAGTCACTGTGCATTATGTCTACTATATTCACCATTGCACTAAATATTGGGGATATAAAGATGAACGATGATCCCTCAAAGAAGTCACACTCCAGTGAGGGAGAGACAAACAGAAATCAGTTAAAACACTATGTGCAAGTTCCACCAAGGAGGGTGGCCCAGAATAAGATAAAAATACAGAGCAAGAAAGGGTAGAAAGTAGCTTCTTGGAGGATGCAGTGGCTGAAGTGTCCTTGGATGAGAAGGCATTCGCAGGCAGAGAAGGTGGGAGAAAAGAAAGATGAAGGCTGAACGTCAGACAGGTGTGGCCTTCATGACAGAACTTCAAGTTCAAGGACAAAGGAATGGGTGTTAGAAGGAGAGAGTAATGAGAGATGAAAGCAGTCAGATCAACCCTCTGGCATTGTCAAGTGGCCTGAACTTGATCCTAATAGTGGTAAGGGACCAATGGCCTATATGAAGGAAGGGAATGTCAAGCCAGATTTGCATATCAGAAGGGCCACTCTGGAAGCCAGTGGAGAAAGACAGGCAGGAATGCCAGTCTAGAGGTCCTTGAGATAATCCAGGAAGTGATTTGTGCTAGACTTGAGGTTCTAGAATGACCAGGCAGTAGACTCCAGGTCTTGGCAGGGGTGACAGAGTTGAGGGGGAGAGGAAGGTGTTTAGGATGAGTCCCTATTGGAAAACTGGAGGGGAAGTATGGGATGCTGCTACTGTACTGTGTACTGGGGACCCGCGTCTCTGAGATCACTGTGGGGAGGCAGGAGCCTCCTCTTCTCCACCTTCGCCTCCTCAGCGCTCCATTTCTACTTTCACCTTTTGTTCCCATGGCACCTACACCACCACCTGCCTCGCACAGCCCTTGTCGGGGCCGTTCGCACTCACCGGATGCAGGGATTGTAACGATGGGGCTCTCTTCACTTTGGGGCTGCTTGTGTGGGAAGCCGGACCAGGTGCAGGGGGCTGCAGCTGCTCCACACTGCAGCTGCGGGACTTGCCCAACTTGGGCCGTGTGCCCTGGCCCAAGGCCAACAAGAACTTTTTCAGCCCCAGGGTAGTGATGCTGCTGCTGGCTTTCTTGTTCCTGTCAGAAGGGGCAGCTGAGGGAGGGCCAGGTCCTGCACTGACCCCTGGTAGGTCTCTGAAATGCAAGAGTGGACATGAGGTTGGGGGAAGAGGGCTGTGGAAGCGAGGGCGGACTTCTTTAGGGTTCTGTGGGCCCCAGATGAGCCAGTACCACGCCTCGTGGAGGAACAGGCAGGCAGGCTGCAGAAAGGAAGGCTGAGTGGAATCCTGCACGGTAGCTTTCAGAAAGAGCAGCTCAGACAAGACTCTTGGTATCACACTCCACAGTGGGTTTACCCAGTCACTCATTCATTCGTTTGCTCATTCACTATTTCTTAAGAACCTCTTCTAGGCCTCTCGTAAGCACTGGGACATGTGGCAAATGACCTGGGTAAGTAAGTGATAGTGGTAAGAAGACAGACAAGGTTCTTATTCTTGGGAGCTTATAGCAGCAGACTAGGAAGTAAAGGAGAGAAGCCATCAGCAACTTGCTGAGTAGGGTGAAGCAAAGAGACACACAGTGGCCAAGGAAGGCCTCTCTGAGGAGATGACATTTAAACTGAAAGTTAAATGACAAGAAGAAGTCAGTCTCACCAAGCCCAGAAATGAGAGCTCCAGGGAGAAAAAAAGCTGTCAGCAAAGCTCAAGTGCAGGAAGGGGCTCGGTGCATTCAAGAACATAGCAGGGCCAGGCCACTAGGACTTGGATATCATCATGAGCAAGGGACAAGAAATAGGTGAAGTCAGACAGGCAGATTACACTGAACACATAAACCAAAGTAAGAGGTTTGAATTCTATTCCAAGCTAAAGGAAAAGGATGATGGGTTTTAAGTAAGAGAAATGACATCATTGAATTAAAGTTTTCAAAAGATACCTTTGACTATTGTGTGGAGAAAGAACTAGAGGGAGCAAGAGGAAAGGCAGAGAGCAACAGGGCTGTTAGAGTTGCATGGAAAGAGGTAAGGCAGCTTAGACCAGGAGAAATGCAGCACGGGTGGGCCTGGGGCTGGAGAAGACTGGACAGTGGGTTGGAGTCAGAGAGAAGCTAAGATGATGCCCAGGTCTTGGAGCACTGTGGAGTGGTTCTGCGTTTGCTGGGAAGAGGCCCTGGGGGAAGCAGTTTTGGTTGGAGCGATCAAGAATTAACACCCTAGTGGGCATATCAGGGGAAACTGGATGCACAAGTCTGGAGTTTGGGAGCACACAGGGCTGGAAATGGAGGCTTGGCTTTCAGTGGCACGTGAAGCCTTGAGTCATAGGTCACCATGAATAATGCATAGCAGAGAAGATGCCATCTGGCCAGAGGGTGGCTTCCCAGAACAAGGACTCAGACAACACGCTAAAGAGAGAATGGCAATGTCAATGCGGAGCTCTCTCCTCAGTATCTGGTTGTCTGCAAGCCCAGAGCGAGGAACAAGTCCTCTCAGACAGGCTGTCCCAGCCTGGGGCACCTTGAGGGTTGAGGCTGGCTGGCCAGCTGTGTCTAACACAGCACCTGGAGCTTGGAGGCCACTCAGTGAATGTTTGGTGAATAAATGATCAAGCACATTAGATTGGAAATGTTTGGGAGAGGAGCACTGGGGTGCCATGATTAGATGTAAGTCTGGGAACCCTCCAAGGACTTGGGAGCAGTGAGGTCAGTCATGCTACCACTCCAGGGGGGGCTCTTTCTTCACTTAGCACCTCCCACCCCCCACCTCCCATAGGTAGAGCTCACTCTTGCTCCTGTCACTCACTGGAGCCCTTCAGAACGTGACTCTGTCCTCTGCAGGCCTCCCTCTGGATCCTGGCGGGATTCTGGCTCTTCTAAGGCCAGGGAGAAGGTGACACCCATGGAGCTGATGGTGCCCACACCTGCGGGGGTGAGAAAGTCATGGATTCCTCCTGCAACAATCCTCCCATGTCACTGACCCATCCCACAGGGGAGGGGACAGTCCCACCCCAGAGGCAGGAGAGCCAGAGAAAGCCGGAGAGGCAGTGGTGAGACCCACAAAACAGGGACAGGGCCTTATTTATCGCTGTTCCCACTTCCCCTGGCACAATCCTGGTACACAGTAGCTGATTAATTAATGCCTGTTAAATGAAGGGACCGCTGTGGTAAGTCATGTCCCTCCTTTATCAAGAGATATAGTTGAGGACAGGGGAATATTTTGTATTCCTGAGGCATCTGGAATGAGCTTGGCAATGAGTTAAACCCTCCCCAGAGATTATTTCATGGGTTCCCAGGAGACAAGTTCTATTATTACCCTCAGATTACAGCGGAGGAGCCTGGAGTGCAAAGGGGTTCAGTGACATGCCCAGGACCTCCTGGCTAATGAGAAGAGGAGCCTTGCCTGGGCCTCTGCTCCAGGCCCCAAGGAGGTGAAGGTTGGCTGCCCAAAAAGCTCTCAGACTAGAAGACCCACAGGAAGTGGTTAAGGGCAGCAGCCTAGAGCCCACCAGGGAAGGAAACCACACCTTAGTTCAAGGTGGGGCCTTCTTCCTCATGTGCGCAAGGGAGGAAGAGGGAAAGTGTATGTCTGTGTGCAGTGGAGGGGTGGCCAGCACACAGGGCGGGGTGAGTCTTGGCATCCACATCCTCAGTAAGGTCAGTACGGCCTGTTGTCTGCCTGTCCTCTCCTTCTCCATTGTGTCTAAGCCCTCCATCCCTCCTGAGCCAGCCCAGGCCCACGGCTGCCAGAGCTGTGGGCACATTAAAGCAGGCTGTGTGGGGTGGGCTTGTATCTTCTGCCTAAAAATGGCTGGGGCTGGGGTGCTTACCTTAGCTTACAACATCAGGGATCAGAGCTAAGGCTGCTGCTGCCCAGGATTTGCCCACATTATGTGGACCCTTCCAAGGACAGAGGTGATATCCCACATCCTTTGCCTGCTGAAACACACCAGTCTGCCAGCAGGGCCAGGGTCTGGGAGGTTGCCAGAGAGCAACCCCAAAACATCTTGTAAGAACTTTGCCTGCTGGTCACCAACCTTTCACACCTCACAGACCACCAGTGGTCCACGGACCACCGGTTGGCGACCACTGCTCTGGACAGCATGTCTGTGCCTGGCCATGGAAAGTTTCAAGGGCAGGACTGCTGCTGAATTAACTCGCTTATTGCATTCATTCCCCACAGGGTCTAGAATAGTGCCTGGCATGTAACAGGTGCTCAAACAGTACTGAATGAATGAAATGAAGACATTGAAGGGGCATTTACTACTCTAAGCAAACAGTAAGTCCTAGAGCTGCTGCCTCTCCTAGCTCTGCTGATGGTAAAATTTCCTCCAGCAGCCACTTAGCTTGGACCTTCTATACACCCCTCAGGATCCCCAGAGGTCAGAGGCTTCAGCACCACTTTCCCATGCTCTGCCTCACCAGGAGAGTTGTTAACCCGCCTCCAGGCTGACGTTGAACCCTGCACCCAATCCATAGACCCACAGACCCTGCTAGCTTCCCTGACACCTGCCATGCATCTGGGGGCTCCATGGGGCTGCTAGGAATGGTGTGTGACTATGTAACCTATGAAGGTGGGCAGTCAGAGAAGGATGTGTGAGACCGCAGACGTGGCCGCAGCTCTAGGACTGCCCCAGATTGGGGCCATCTTACCATCTTTGCAGTTCTCCAGGGGTGCCTCGGGCTCCTGGCTGCTGGTGCCCTTCTCTACCTGGCCCTCGAGGATGGTACCCCCTGAGGACTCCCTCAGCCCCCCAGGCTCGCTGTTGTTGCAGTTGTTGGTGGAGAGGCCCAACAGTGGGTGCCAGCCTTGGTGGCCGAAGGGCTGTGTCTGTGGGGGGCTGAGCTCACAGGTCCTGGGAACTGCACTTCCTGAAGGAGGCCGGGGGGTGCCCACAGATTCTCCCCGGCCACCAGGCCTGCGGGGTGCCTTCCTGTGAGGCGCAGGTGACGTGGTTTTCCTGGAAGGAGGAGGAGTTGGCACCCAGCCCTCTGAGGAAAGGGAAGAAGTTGGCTGCTGGGCCTTGTGTAGGGCAGAGGGCTCAGCGTGGCTCTGTTGCAGGGGGATGGTTTCCAGAGACTTGTGGCTTTCTATAACCTGGTCTTGTCTGCCTGGCCCCAAGGGTGCCAGCTTCTTACAGGAGGCCGGGGCACAGGCCTTTCCCCACAGAGCCAAGGAATCCACAGCGGGAGCCCAGGGGTTTCTCAGTCCTGGTCGCAACTCCCCCTGGGGCCCCAGGGCGGCCCTCTCGGGTTCCTGCACAGGAGGCTTGGAGGAAGCGTTTTCTCCGGGGAACAGAGTCCCCTCAGGTGTGTGTCCTCTGCCTTCTTTCACTTCATCTGAAAACTCCAGGAGATCAACGCCAGGCAGGTTGTGCGGGACTGGGGCCGGAGGGATCTCAGGTGGCTCCCTTTCCGCCTTCCGGAACCACCTGTGGCCTCCACGAGGCCTGGAGCCCCGCAGTCGGGGGCCACGGGCTCTAAGGGGCTGAGAGGTCCCGGCCTCTTCGCTGTCGGTCCTGCAGCTGTCTGAGGTGTCCGTGCTATCCAAGGCGGAGTCCACCTCCAGGGGACACACAGAGTCTCCAATTTGTGTCTCCCGGATCCATTCGGTGTGGGACCCTTGCTCGGTGGGGAGGAGCCTGAAGGGGGCGCTCAAACCCCAACAGCTAAGGGGCTCTGCCAGCACTCCCTCCAGCCCACAGGCAGCAGCCTTGTGCTCCTGGAGGACCTTGGGGTCCGGGGCTGCCTTCCCAAGGGCAGGGCGTGCGTCCTCAATGCAACTGCCGCAGGCTTGGCAGGTCCTCTGGATGCCCCGTGTGGGCGGCCACTCCGGGAAGGCTCTCTGGTCCAGGTGGCCCACAAGCCTGTGCAGAGTCCGTTCGCTTGGGTCCCTGCGCAGGAGGCCCCCGGCCATGTAGTCTGCGAGCTCTGGCTTGGAGCGCAGGGGGCCTTGCTCTGCCATCTGCAGCGCGGGGCCCAGCACCTGGCGCTGGCGCTGCTGCAGCCGGTCCAGGTAGCGGGACTCGGCCTCCCGGGCGGACTCATCCTCGAAGCGGACGCGAGACGGGGAGGGGCCCCGCTTCGGCCACTGCCCGCTGCTGGACTCCCCGCTGGAGGAGTCGCTCGTGCTCCCGTTGTGGAGGTTGTCTCTGCGGGCAAAGGGCACCCTCCGGTCCAGGGCTGGGTTTCTCCTGATGGGGAGACAGAAGCACGGTTACAGGAGTGAGGAGGAAGGTAGCCTGGGGTGCTCCGTGGTAACTTATACAAACCCAAAGTTACCCCAAATCGGGTTCCTGGGGAGTCAGGCAGCAAACCAGAGCAGCTCACAAGCCCATCCAGAGCCTGAGACATAGCGCTAAACAACACCCACAGGACCTTCTTTATTGTGCATTTCCCTCTGTTGCCAGCTCAGCCTGAGTTAAGAAGGAACATTACTAAACTGAGGATTGTACAGAAAGATGACACCAAAGTCCTCCAGGGTGCTGTGCGTGATGTGTGTGTGGCACATGAGCCTGGCCACCATGGCTTCTGGTAGTGATGACTATGGCAGTACTGTATTTGCTATAAAGATTTAATGGGAAAAGTACATTTTAAGTCTCTACAGGGTCTGTGTGGGACCAGAAGTTAGGGTTTCTTTCTTTTTTACAAAATATTTTATTGATTTTTTTTACAGAGAGGAAGGGAGAGAGAGATAGTTAGAAACATCGATGAGCTGCTAACTACACACCTCCCACTGGGGATGTGCCCACAACCAAGGTACATGCCCTTGACCGGAATTGAACCTGGGACCCTTCAGTCCGTAGGCCAATGCTCTATTCACTGAGCCAAACCGGTATTGGTAGAAGTTAGGATTTCTTGCTCTCCCTCTGGGTTCCCAATCATCTTGCTTAGACAAAATTTAGACAGAGAGACGATGATACTCCAGATGCTCCCTCTTGTCTGTTCCCACACCCCTTCCTTTACCTGTCCCACCTCAGCCCCTTAAGCACACACATCCTGAAACGCTGTGATGAGAATTACTGTGCTAGGAAAAGTCTCCGCATTCTGTCACCAGCCTGTGCTCTGGGAGACACTGTGCCTGGTGGTCAAGTCAGTCCTCACACCAGGGCACCCTGAAGCCAGGTTACCTGACTTTCAGACCACTGTGCGAATAGACCCATCTTTCTGTCAGAGGCCAGGTGAGTAAGTACCATACTTCTCCCTCCCTGAGGACCCACCTACACCTGGATCACTTTAGGCTGTCAGGACCAGAGGAAGGGCATCTAAAAAGGGATCCAGGTCCTGCCAGCCACATCACTAACCTTAACTTGTATTTTATTTTTTAAAATAAATTTTATTAATTTCAGAGAGGAAGGGAGAGGGAAAGAGAAACATCAATGATGAGAGAGAATCATTGATCAGCTGCTTCCTGTGTGCCCTGCACTGAGAATCAAGCCTGCACCCTGGGCATGTGTCCTGACTGGGAATTGAACCTTAATCTCCTGGTTCATGGGTCGATGCTCAACCACTGAGCTATGCCAGTCGGGCTGACTTTAACTTTTATATATTATTATTATTATTATTATTATTATTATTATTATTATTGATTTTTTACAGAGAGGAGGAGAGAGGAATAGAGAGCTAGAAATGTCAATAAGAGAGAAACATCAACCAGCTGCCTCCTGCAAACCCCCTACCGGGGATGTGCCCGCAACCAATGTACATGCCCTTGACCGGAATCGAACCTGGGACCTTTCAGTCCGCAAACTCGCTCTACCGCTGAGCCAAACCGGTTTCGGCTTAACTTTTAATACAAGATGGTGAATTGAGTCATGGAATTTGGCATGGAATTCATGTCAAAGATAGAAATAATATTTTTGTTCCCAAAGGAGAACTGAAGGATTGCTTAATCACATAAGGCACCTTCAACCCAAGTATTAAAACCCAGAGGCCTCTACCAGCAGTGCTGGGACAGTGCAGAAAGGTGCCATGAGGATTCGGAAGACAAGCGCAGAGCAAACAAGGCACTCCAGCAGTGAGCAAATCCCACCCTGCTGAGCTTCTCAGCCAGCAGGTACCTCAGTATGCACCCTCAGGGAGGACTCTGTCAGGCTCAGAACCTGGGCTGAAAGGCCTGTGGGAAGGATGGGAAGGCCATCTTCCAGAGCCCACTTCCTATAACAATGCTGTCCTTACCACTCTCCCCATTACGTCCCACATAAGCTCTACAGTTTTAACCAGCCACTTTCTGACACAGGAAATGGCACTTATGGTGCCACCTCTCAGGTCCTGCATCTTGCTGACATGTTTATCCTCCTGAGATTAGACCAATAGTGTATCTGTCCCCCAAACGGCAAGAGCGTGTATTTCCAGGAGCTGCTTGATATCAATGCTGATGTGTTTCCAGGGAATGCAGCTACTGCTACTTTTTCACCTCCTGGCAAAGCCTCTCTGTCTGTTCCGGCTGCCCTCGCCGTCTCCACTAGACTTAGGATACAGCTGGGGATGGCTCTGCCTCCCCCCACCCTTCCGTCATCTTTCACTGCTCTTTGGAAGGAGTGATGCTTCTGGGCTGGGGCATCTAACCAGGGCCCAGGGCCTATGTGGCATCTCCATGTTAACTCAGCATGGCTCTCCAGGGCGATTTGACAAGCGTAACCTTTAAAAGCATCTGTAGCAAGCCATCTGGCGTTGATTTTTCAGCTCTACCCTCTGAGGATTCACCAGTGCTGCCAAATCAAAGTAATTCCTTTCTGGACACAGCAGCTGCTAAAGTGGGTCACCTTGCTTTTCGATAGCATTTCTATGGCCAGGGGACAGGCTGGCAGAGGAGAACCTACTTTAAGGTCAGTGATTGGGTTGTTGTGAGCTGCTGTCACGATTCAGGGAAGAGGAAGCACGCACGAGTACATTTACGCAATCAAGTATATTTGCAAATAGACTTGCCTATGTGAGGCTACCCAATCCAACCTATATATCTATGGCAGTGGTCAACAAACTCATTAGTCAACAGAGCCAAATATCAAAAGTACAATGATTGAAATTTCTTTTGAGAGCCAAATTTTTAAAACTTAAACTTCTTCTAACGCCACTTCTTCAAAATAGACTTGCCCAGGATGTGTTATTTTGTGGAAGAGCCATACTCAGGGGGCCAAAGAGCCGCATGTGGCTCGCAAGCCACAATTCGCCGACCACTGACCTATGGAAAGTGAAAGAGGAGGGTTCCATGGGAGTATAAGACATGAATCATCCCTTTGTTTAGTGTGTCTCCACACTGTATATACTCTCTGCCCACTAGTCACTTAGTAGCTCTTTCAGTTATCAGATCAACTGTGCGGTATTGCAGTGCTTGTGTTCAAGTAGCCCTTACATACATGCAGAGAATAGTTAGGTTGCTTCAGAGAAGCCATGCCCATTCATAACTAGTGCTCTCCACCCAGAGGAAGACAAGGCACAAAATGTGGAAATAAAAGGGTAGTCTGTTTGGCACTTGTTGCCAGGGTATGGGGGTCTCCTGAGCCCCTCTCCTAAGTGTCATTCTGACACTGAACACAGAGGCAGGCCACAGCCCTCTGCTCACGCTGGAGTCATCTCAATGGTGATGTGAAGGTCCTCACCCTTTCATGAGTGGATTCAGCATCAAAGAGCATGTGGTCCAGTTCCACTGAGAATCCTCATTTCCTCTAGTGCCACGTAGTGATGAAAACTGGCAGGCCCACCGTGCCCGCCATACACGGAAGCCACAGGCCTTGTCAACCACAGAGAGGGTCCTGCTCAGGCCTGGTGCAATCTGACATGGGCTGGCATTCTCACCTCAGGCCCAGAACTCCACATGTAAGTGGTTCCTTGCAGTGCGCCGTACATGGAACAGTCACAATGATGGTGACAGGGTGTCGCTTAGGGAGCAGCCACATATGTGAAGTGCTAGTCTGAATGTCCTTGAACTTGTTTCTTTCCTATATGTCCATCCGTGTTGCACTCAGGCTCACCCACAGCTCCAGCATCATGAAACGAGGGTAATACCCACATCTGCAGTTCTGACCTCTCTCCTCCTCTGCAGTTCCCATAACCAACTGCCTGATAAGGGTCTCCAGTGGGTGTTCCGGGGCTAACTCCCTTCAAAGCCTGACCCTGCACCTAGGCTTCACTCCTTGCCTAAGGTCCCATCGAACCTTCAGACACCAAGTCAGAACCCTGGGCTCCGTCCTGGATGCCTCTCCTCTACTACTTCCTACATCTGTTTAATTACGGTAGTCTCCCCTTTTCTATGGATTCACTTTCCGTGATTTCAGTTACTTGCGGTCAACAGCTGTCAGAAAATATTAAATGGAAAACTCCAGAAATAAAGAATTCAGAAGTTTAAAACTGCATGCCATTCTCAGTGATGTGATGAAATCTTGCCCTGTCCCCACACCATCCCACCAGGGACACGAATCATCCCTTTGTTTAGTGAGTTTCCACACTGTATATGCTCTCCGCCCACTAGTCACTCAGTAGCTCTCTCAGTTATCAGATCAACTGTGTGGTATCGCAGTGCTTGTGTTCAAGTAGCCCTTATTTTACCTAATCATAGCCCCAAAGAGCAATAGTAGTGCTATTGACAGATTGGATATGCCAAAGAGAAGCTATAATGTGCTTCCTTTATGTGAAAAGGTATGAATGTAGAGGAAAAACATAGGATCGTTCAGTACTATCTCTAGTTTCAGGCATCTAGTTGCGGTCTTGGAACATATCCCCAGTGGACAAGTGGAGACTAAATTACTTTTAAGAGGTAACACTCACAGAGTACTCACTATGTGCTAGGAGGTATTCTAAGCACTTTACATGTATTTACTAGCTCTTATAACCCTCACAACAACTCTGTAACATAGGCTCTCTTATAATCCCCATTTTGCAGATGAGGAAACTGAGGCACTGAGACTTCCCCAAAGACACACAGCTAAAAAGTGGCAGAGCCAAAATTCAACCCAGTGGTCTGGTTCCAGAGTCTTCTAACCTCTTCACTGCTGCCTCATTGAAACTGCTTACTTCAGGCTCTCAGTAATCTCTTGTCTCCAAACCCTCCTCCCTGTCACACTGCACCAGGAGCATGGTGCAGTCTCCTCACTGCCCCCGAACCCCAGATCCAACACATTCTTGCAGCCAGGACCACTTTACTGAATCACAAACGTGATCCTGAAACCTACCCACCTTCCTGAAACCCTGTTATGAGAGACATGCAAACTGCTCAGCAGGCCTGGAGGCTTGCACGACTGGCCTGCATGGAGCTCTCAAGCCTGCACACCATGCACCCAGCAGGTCCTCAGGCTCCAGCCTGGCCGAACTCCTGAGCAGTGCTTTTGCTAGTGGTTTCTGCCCTGGGATGCTCACCCCTGCCTCCCTCGTTTGTCCAGTGAATATGCAAGTCTCCTTCAAGCCCTAACCTAGAAACCAACTCCTCTTGAGCCTCCCAGTCCTTCCCAGGTGAAGGTACGATTTCCTGCCCTGCAAACACATCTTTCTCCCTACACCAGGATCCACAGAATTGTATTGATCGCCTTGCCTGCCTTTCTCCCTGGAGACAGTGACTTTTGTCCCTCCAGGGAGCTCAGATTATGTTTCATTCATCTTTGAACCCTCAATGCTGAACACTCTAGGCCCTCAGTAAAAAGTATGTTGACCAACTAAATGAATTAAAGCAAGCACTCGATATGGGAGACAGACAGACACACACACACACACACACACACACACACACACACACACACACACGGGAGGAGTGAGCAGAGGCATTTTGGCTAGGTCCCATCTCTTTTCCCAGGCCCCACTCACCGGCCACTCTGTTCAATGGTGGGTATGATATCATGGCTGGCACGGAGGGGTCGGGTCCTGGCCTTCATGCGGGCGCGCTGCAGCAGGTGCTTGGCTTCCTCATGCCTGGGGCTCCTCAGCACGGGCTCCGGCTTGGGGCCAAAGGTCCTGCGGGGTGGCACACAGGCAGGAGCAAGCGGGGGAGGGATTAGAAGAAAATAACACGGATTAGGAGGGCTTTAACAGTATCTAGCACGGCAATGCCAGGAAAACCCTGCAAGGGCCGCCTTCCTTGTCCAACTTCCACAGAAGGTGCCTGGCCCTGAGCTACTCTGGACAGGGCAGCAGAGCTGGCCCGCCCTGAGCATCTGCTCAGGGACCAGAGGCCGAGACCCCAGGAGGATCTAGAAAAGTGTGGAGGAGTCTCCAGATTACTTTATTGTTCCTTTCCCGGCAGACAGCAGGAGTTATAATGGCTGGGGGAGGGAGAGAAAAGGGCCTCGGTTGTTGGGTTGGGCCTGTGCCCAGCCAGATGGTCTTTACATGCATCATCTCCCCCTCTCCTTCTGTCTCTTTGCACCCTCACATACCCTCTCAAGCTCCCGAGCACACCCTGCGCTCCCCTCACAGGCACAGGGACTCAGGGCTCTGCCCATTGCAGCTCTGCTCCTTGGAGCGATGACATTTTTATAGGTCCTGGTGTTTTTCTGCCTCAGTCCCAACCCAGACCCATCAGGCATCCGTTGAGGGCTGGGAGAAATTAAGCTGGACCCATACCAAGTTGGCAAATGGCTTGATTTTCATAATTATACGGGTCCTCCTCACCAGCCCTCATCACCGACACATTGTGCTGCCTTCCCAGCCAGTCCAGAGCTACAGAAAATGACAGCAGCCCTTTTTCAACGCTGGCTTGCAGACAGTGACATACAGCCAGCGCCAGGCTACAGCAGTAACAGCACCCCCACTGCCTCCCCCTGATGAGATGTTTCTCTCCGCAGAGCTCACGCACCCAGCCAGGCTGGCCAGAGGCAGGAGTCCTCTCCGTCTGACAGATGGGGGTGTTCCGGAGCAGAGAGGCACATTTGGCACGTTGCTCAAGGTCGAACATCAGTCGAGAGCAGAGCAGACGATAGCCTGCCCCACTGCCTCCAGCATCCTCCCCGTGTCCTCTGTCCCCTTTTCCTTCCTGGGTCCCAGGGACAGGCTGAGGATGTTTGTGGCCAGAGTCAGACATGCTCTTTGACGTGACTTCAGTATCCCCCGTGGCTGCCCCGGCCTCAACCAGGGAGGTCCACAGGAGGAAGCTCAGGCAGGGAGAGGTTCAGTAGACCTAGATCTCTGCCTGCCCCATTCCTTCCCACCCACATGTAACCTGGAGAAATGGGCCTTGGGCTGATTGGGAGAAGGTGCCAAGTAGTTTCCTAGATGACAGGTGACAGATATGTGAGTGGCATAACTCTGACATCCTCTTGGGACATCCTTAGATAAGCTCTGAGTAGTCTAGGATTTTTTTCTTTTTCTCTATCCCTCTCTTCCTTCCTTCCTTCCTTTTTCTTATTTTTTGTGCCTAACCTTGCTTGGAGGCCCAAGAAAACAAAAAGTGCTGCAGGTATAAAGGCACCATCTGTGCCCATGAACCCTGGCAGGGCCCAGGCACAGTTTTGGAACCAGAAGGGTTGACTAGAGTGATGTGCAAGTGAGTCTCCAGGCCTGCTGCCCTGCGAAGCCTCTTTTGGCAGGAGAGGCCTCCCTCTGCACGGCTTCCCAAGCAGGCGGCTCCTCCAGCACACTGCCGAGAGCAGCTCTGCTCTCTGGGGCTCCTGCTCCGACAGCAGAGATAATGAGGTTACCAGCCCGGAGAGCCGCCCCTGCAGCTGCGGGCCTCTGGCTGCCAGCCTGAAAACTCGGAGCCTTCCGGTGACAGCTGCGGTTCCCTGGCTGTCGGAGGGCATTTGTCACAAGACCTGGTGGGCAGGCAGGAGGGCCCCAGGCAGTTGGCCAGATGTTGCCAAGCTCGGCCTTGCCCCGGGTTTCTATTTCCCTTCTGTCCCTCCAATTGGAATGGTTGATTTTTTTTTTTTCCCCCATTAGCTGCCCTGCTTTGGTTCCTGACACACAAAGCTGTTTTTCCCACTGATTAGAAAAACAGGGCTTTGGGGGCGCCTGGAGGCATCCATGCAGTAACAAACTGAGAAAGGGGGAGAGTGGCAGTCACCTTCACAGATGGCAGCCAAGGTTAGCGGGGGAGGCAATTGCTAGTTATGGTACACCCGGGAGAGGGTAGGCACTGCCCCGCCCTTGGAGGGAAGGTGGTCTTTCTCCCGTGATAGGGGGCAGGCAGTATGGTCCTGAGGGACAGTGGGTCTGCCACAGACTAACTGCCCACCTCCTATGGCCGTGTCGTACTGGTCCACTGCTAGGGTGCCAACCCCAGCAGACAGGCAGGTTCAGACTCCTCCATCTGAGGAAGCCTTTCCAGTCTAATCTGACCTTGGCTTCTGCCAAGGGCACACAGCCCTGGAGCCAAACCCTTCCTATCATGGCCTATCACCCACAATCCCAGTTCTCACAATTCTGGGAAGTCTCCTGAAAGGGTTGAGCAGTTAGTGCATGGCTAGACAAAGGCAATTCCACCTGAGAACAGATAGCTTTGGCCCCTTTCTTGAAAGCCTGCACATCTGGGCTCATTTGCTCAGGGGGTCAAGTGGCTGAGTGCTTTTCCTCCCTGGGCCTCAGTTTCCCCACCTGTAAACAGCAGGCACTTAATAGGGGAGAGGACTCACTACCCTGTGAGTCTGTGAGTGTACCCCAAAGTGGGGTGGGGAGACTTTGACACTCTCTCCCTGTGGGGTTCACACCACAGATGTTTGGCTCCCAAGGAGCAGCAAAACCTACAAAGACAAGTGGAATTCCACGTGAGCATTCTGGCCCTTTCCTTTACCCCTCCAACCTCCAGGGTCCTAAGCGGCTTCGGCTTCCCGAGGACAAAGGGCAGCCCCTCCCCTCCCCCCTGACTTTTCCATCCAAGCCAGTTTCGTGTTAAAGGCACACAGGCAGGTGGAGATCTCAAGTTCTCTTTCTGCAGCCGTCAAAATCCTGGATTAAAACAATAAGCTCCAACAAGACTGGATTTTACCCTTCCATCCCAGGAAGATGATTTAGGGAAATAATTTGGAATGTTAACACCAACTGACATTTCCCAGTTTATAGGATGAGGCAGGTAGAGAAAACATATAGTGTACAGAACATATATAAGCTTTCTGCCCAGCATTTGCTCCATTTTTGTACATTATCTAGCCTTTTGATGACCGAGGATAGAGCACTCCTGCTGTCATACGGTGTGCAGTTTCCTGAGTGAGGGAGGGGAAGAGGTAAGGAAGGCCTGGGACTTTTTATTCTGGGCTGTGTGCTTCATGAGGCAGGGACCTTATCTTGGTGCCTTCTTCTCCGGGTTGCAGGCTGCTGACAGGCCAGAGCCCAGAGCGGTGGCTCTGGGCAGCCTGCCTAGGCTCATATTCTGGATTGTCACTTACTAGCTGTGTCACCCTGACAGGTTACTGAGGGGTTAAATCTCAGTTTCCCCATCTGCTAACTAAGGGCTTAGTAGTTAAGTGAGACCTGAGTCCCTTTAAGGAGGTTAGCATAGAGCTGTTCACATTTGCTGTGATTATTGCTGTTATTAGTAGCACTGTTTGTTTGTTAAATTACTCTCACCCCTTCACTGAGTATAGAATGCAATCCCTAAAACAGGAACTGAAGTCACCTGCCAAAGAGATGGCCTGGTAGTAGTCTGTAAGGGAAGTTGTGTTTGGAAGTGACACACCATCTCAAAGCTAGAGGGGGCGAGGTGGTGCTTTTGCTTTAGACTTTCAAAAAACTTTGACAGGGCCTCACAGGAAATCATCTTCCAGAGAGGAGGCTATTGGGTAGCAGAGGAAACTTCTCTCAGCAGAGAAGGAAGAGAGGGCATCCTTACGAAGGACTGCTTAGAACATGCTTCATCTAACACCTTGCAAAGGATCTGGGTGGAGCTGCACAGAGTTTTCCTAGGACATCAAAATGAAGGCTAACACGTTCCCCACTGGGCTGGCCGTCTAGTGTGTGGGGGCAGGTGTCCAAGACACCCCAGGTGGAGGGACAATGGCCTGCTCAGCTCTGGTGGCCAGGAAGGAGGGCTTCCTTTTCCTGAATTTCAACCTGACTCCCCAACGGTGTCTTATTAAATTGGCTTTCTTGAGCCCCTCTATTCATAAAGGTTGGGACCTGAATGAGATTTTAGTGTGAGGTGTGTGTGAGTGCGATAATGACATGGCATCAAGTCCCAAGTGGCACCAGCTGTGTGGTAGGGCTTCAAGTGTTAAGTTAGCATCCTTCCCTCTCCACCTAGGATTTAGAACACTAGATGCGCCAGTAGCACGGTATTTAAAAACACTGGTGAATGGTTAAGTTACTTTTTCTTTCTAGTTTTGGTCTTGGTGGTTTGGGGAGTGCTAAGAGGGCTTCCCTCTACTTTTCCTTTGGGTCTAGATCTGAATCAGTAGGCAGGATGGGGAATGGTGGGGACAAGCAGGGTGGGCAGGGCTCAGTCATTCTTCCTTTCATTCTTGCCTTGGGTGCCCTCAGGTGTACCTACAGCTACGAGAATCCTGGGAGGTACAGGAGTGCCGCTTCCCCCATGCTCACCCCCAGGACTCATCATGACCTCCTGATCCTTGGGGCCCAGAAGATTCAGAACCTGATCTGAGCAAAAATGACTCCAAACACTGGGCTATATGAAACATGTACCAGGCCAGGGTTGAGGCCAATCTCTGAGCAGAAAGCAGTGGGCAGCAGCTCAGACTCACAGATACCCCCTGAACCCCCACTGTGAGTGTACTCTGACCATCCTTCCCAGTCAGGACACTGCCCACCCCCCTAATCACTTAGTATGCCCACTTTCCCCAAGACACTGGCGGTGTGGCCAGAGCAAGCTCTGTGGGATAGCAGGGTGAGATTGGAGGAGGAGAGACCCTGTACATGACCCAAGCACACCACCTCGATTGGGAAAGGAATTGGGGCAATAAGTGCTTTGCATTTATACACTTTCCCTAAGGGTTTTTACAACTGCTATTTCCTTTTAGACTCACACAGTACTATGAAATCAACCACACACATACTATTTGTCCCACTTTAAAGATGAAGAAACTGAGGCCAGGCAGGGGAACCGAATCCCACAAAGCATGAGCACGTCATTTGCAATGTTCTGCACGGTGAGTGGTTTTGCTGAAGTAGCAGGCAGGCCCAGCCTGGGACATGGGGTGACTGGCACCCTCTACTCTGTCTCAGAGTTGACAATCCATAGTGGCCCACTGTTTCCTGATCTGCCCTTGTGCTTTCTCAAGGTCTCCTACTCTCCCATTGATTGGTAAATAGAGGGACAATGGTGAGGAGGGAGGGAGAAAGGGTGCACTGTGAGTTCTTACCTGTTCTGGTCTGAGTCCTGCAGGGAGATGCCTGAGTCCCAGTCCATATCCCCAGGCGGTTGCTCTAGGACCCAGAACAGAAGCAGAGATCAGGGCAGAGCCAGAAACTGGGCTCTCCACTACCACTTGATGAATGTCAAGAAGTATCTCCAGAAGCCATTTACTTCCCAGATAAACCTGCTCCTCTCCTCTGCCTCTGCCTCTGCCTCTGCCTGAGAGGTGGAGGCATGGCCTGTCACAGTGGCTGTGGTAGGTCCTACCGTGGGCTAAGGGGCCCACACAGGACCTCTCTCAGGAGTGTGTGAGGAGTGAGCTCTTGGAATAGGAAGGAAAGAAGGGACAGAAGTGTCTTCTCAGGCTTGAACACTTGCACAGCCCAATGGTGCTACTGCCTGAGTTCAGTCCACCTGACAAGATACTTAGCCACTTGGTGGTGAGGGCACATCATTGGAGGGAGATACAAAGAGCCTCTATAAGAGGCTACTTGCCACAGGAAAGAAGCTATGGTAGCCGCCATCCCCAAGCACAGAGGGTGGCCTCCCATTGGCCTGGGGAGTCATGGGGGTACTCAGCAGATAGGGCTGGCTGTGGGGGGAGGGGGTAAACAATCTATGTCAAAGCCAAGCATAAGAGGACATCCTGATGATTCTGGTGACAGGCAGCACTCCTCCCTCTCCTGCCCCAGCCCCTGCTTTTCCTTCTGGACTCCCTTCTGCTGTCCCCACCACCCAGACCTGCAGAGTGAGCCTCACCTGATACAGCTCTGTCCCAGGAGAGAGTCCGAGCTGGGACTCCCACCTTGGAGGGGCCCTGCCCCCCAACAATGAGCAGCTCCTGCAGAAGAAGGCGATTCCTCTCCACCTGTTCAGACAGGGGCAAGGCGCTGCGCCCAGTGCCCAGAGCCCCCAGGTCTCCAGCTCTCCAGAGGCCCCCCAGCAGGCCTGGTCTGGGGACAAAGTCCTCCTCAGAGGTTAGAGACAAGCTGTCCAGGTCTTCCCCTGAATATAGATCATCCTGAAGGGGGCATGACCTTCCTTTCTTCAGGTTGGGCACGTGGGTAATTCTGTCACAAGGTCTAGGGCCCCTAGGTCGTCCTGAAATGACTCTGTGGATGGGGCTATCTTGCAAAGAGCTGGACCCTAGCAGCAGACTCCTCTCATGGTCAGGCAGAGTCCACAGGCTCCTCTCATTGTAGCACTCCAGCCTAGGGGTGGGCGGCCTGGGAGGTCTGGAGCTCTCATTCATGGCAAGTTCCTTCTCATTGGCACTGTTGTCCAGCTGTCCTTCGTTTGGGTTCTGAGCATGGAGAACCACAGCCGTATCCAGCAAGGGAGACCCTGCTGATGGATCTCTGGTTCCACCCCCTTTGACTCGTCGGCATTTGGGTTTCTTGGGGGATGGTCTCTCATGGGTAGTGAGGCAGGGGCTTGCCCCCTGTTTGCCTGCTGTCATCTTTTCCTTCAAGGCCCTGACCTTGGACTCCAGCACGGAGGGTCCTTGGGGCTGTATACCCCATGCCCTGGGAGGGTGGGGGGCCATCTGGCTGGGTGTTCTGTCTTCCTGAGGGCAGGACCAGGGTCTTGGGAGTTGTCCATTATTGAGCTGTGACTCAGTGCCACTTCTCTCCATAGCTGAGGTCACTTCCATGGAGCTGGCTATTCTGCTCTCTATTTTGGATTCTCTGGAAAATAAAATAGACAGAGCTCCTTAGACCCCACACCTGGCTAGCTCCAGCAACTTCCTGGGTCCCCAAAGTGCCTTCATATTGAGCCCTGTCCAGACAAGAGTAAACTGGGGCCAGAGCAGGGAATAAATATCCTGTAGATAATGTGAAAGCACTTTGAAAAGCAAAATTCACTGAATGATACAAAAAGATATTATTAAATTTGGGTTTTCTAACTCCGTTTTACAGAGGGGGCACAAACATCAAACAACTAATTCTAAGCCAGATGTGGACCAAAGTGAAAAGCCAGATCAGATCTCCCAATGCCTGGCTCTTGATTTCCTGGCAGGTGATCTCAGTGAAGATGTGATTCCCTCGGGATCTGTCTGTTGGGTGGAAGGTGCCACATGCCTCCACCTCTCCCCCTCCCCCCCCCCCACATACACACACACACCACACTCCCTCCCTCCAAACCACAGGACACAGCATTGTGCTGTGTTCAAAGGGTAGCCATGATCAGTCACTAGCTCCTACCAGCATCTGCTCCAGGCAGGCCTGCAGTGCTTTCAAACACACTCTCTCAAATAATTCTCACATCCTTCAGCCACACAGCATTATTATCCTCACTTTCAGACTGCGAACCTGAGGTACAGCAAGATTATGCCACAGAGGTGCTAAGGGGAAGCCGGTTTGGAATGCAAAGCTTTTTGTTTCAAAGCCATGGCTCTTCCAAAGCACTCGGTGATCACTTAACCCCACCCCCTTATTCTATAATGAGAATGATCCAGACTAACGAGCTTCAGTGACTTGCCAGGACAACACAGCTCCTTGGTGGCATAGTTTGCTGTCAGTCTCTTTGTAGGGAATGAAAGTGAGCACAGAATTTTATTCACCAAGTCGTTCTGTGCTCACATATGGGCCATAAGGTCTTGATATTTACCCTGCACTCTGAGAAAATGTTCCCTCAACATCATACATCTAGATATGTCCCACTTGAAATAAACTGCATGTATAAAAATCCATATTTACATATATTCCAAATTAGGAGTTAATTATTTACTTCATATGTTGACTAAAGAGTCACCATAGAATTATCTTAATTGGTAAGTCCCTCTACTTTTTTATTACAATTTAATTTATACATGTTTCAGGTATGTACACATTTTATAAAGCAAAGTACACACAGTGCAAAATGTGCACCAGCTTTCAGCCAGTGTAGTTTAAGGACTATCTTTAGAAGGCCGAGATCATCTACTCCACCAGTTAAACTAGGATATACCAACTTTCTCTTTCCAGCCTAGTCACTGATTTCTCCTTTCTAAGGTTCAATCCAGAGAAAAAGGGGTTAGAATATAATGGGAGTCGTTTTGGTTAAATAAAAATAAACTTTCTGACGGTAAACTCTCTAGACCTGTATTCCACAGCTAATTCATCTAGGGAGACCTTCCAGCGGGGCATAGCCGGCGGCCTGGGGAGACAGAAGGTGCTGCTGCTTGCAGTGATTCTATGGCCCAAGTGCTGCATTTGCTCAAACTCAGAAAGGCTGAAATGAAGATGGACATGGAGGGCAGGCCTCCCCCAACCCTTCCAGCTCCGCGGCTCCGCCACCCCGCAGCCGGCCGGCTCCTCGCCTCCTCCTCCGTACTCGCCTCCTCCTCCGTACTCACTGAAGGCCCCCACTGGCAGGTCTGGCCTCTGGCTCCTCCATCCCCTCCATCCTTGGACCAGCGAGCCCTCCTCTGGTCCCCTCTCCTTCCTAGGCCCCCGGGCCAGGCTCTGCTCCCGGCTCCGCAGTCAGCCCTGGGCCCGAGCGGGGTCCAGCTGCGGCCTCCCTCCGGGTCGGAGGAGGGAAGCAGGTCAGGCAGGGATGGCTGTGGCATCGGCTGCTAGTTCGTGGCTGTGCCACGAAGGGGGAAGAAGCCCAGTCTGGCGCCTTCAGGGCCGGGACAGGGAGAGCGGAGCGGAGCGGAGCGGAGCAGAGAGGAGCCCAGCCTGGAGGGGAGCGGAAGGGGCTGGAGCAGCGGGGCCTGCCCCGCCCGGCCTCGCCCCCTCGGCACCGGCTGCAGCAGCCCGAGCCCCAGAGAGCGAGCGAGCGTCTCGCAGACGTCAGAGGGGCGGGAGGGCAGGCGAGGCCCCGCTGAGTTCAGGAACCCGCCTGAGCCCCGTGGGACGCAGGGACGCGGGGTGCTTAGCCCAACTGACCCCTCGTGGCCAGGAGCGGACCCCGGGGCAGCTGTGGGCAGCGCAGCTATTGGATGAGGCTCAACGGGAGCAAAAGCTAAGAAAACAATACTTTCTTCCCGAGCTGCTTCGTGGGAATGCGTGTAACTCTACACCCCAGGCTGCCAGGGAGGCTCCGCTATCCGGGTGAAGCTAAGGAATGCCCTTTGTTTAGACAGCTTTTCCAGGGGAGTTCGGAGCCCTCTGCCACAGGACGTCCCCGTCAGCCTGGGGCACCATTTTCTTCGAGGTCAAGGTCATTAATTTCTGTTTTGCAGAGGCGTGAGGGTCACCGGAGTAGAGGTGGGTTCCCTCATCCTGTCTTGCCAAAGGGAGAGCCTGGTGCCTGCGTTGCCAGCTCCCTGGGGTAGGCGCCTGGGGGTTGGGGGGGTGGGGAACCCCTGAAGACACCATGTCACTTTTTCCAGACCTAGAAGTAGTAGTTAAAGAGCTTCACCTGCATCTGTGGCCCAAGCCAACCAGAGCTTGCTTTCTTACTACCCAGAGGGAGGTGCCGGAGCCTTGCCTATTTCCAAACCTGTTTTCTCACAAAGGATGGGAAACAAGAGAGTTAGGACCCGGGAAAGTCCGGAAATCTCTACAAAGGGAAAGTGCTCATTCATCTTTCCTGCAACTAGCAAGCTTCTCTCTTCTGTTTGCATATGTGCGCTACAGTCACCATCTAGATGACAGGCATAGCAACAGTAAGGACCACACCATGAGGGTGCGGTGGCTGATAGAGGTCCTTTCCAGAGGTCTCTCTAGTGAGGAGTTCCCCTGCGGAAGGTGGGTCATGTGGGCAGGGCCAAAGTGCCCAGTCCTGAGAGCAGTTCTCTGGGAAGCTGTGGTAGAATAGCCTTGAGCTAATTTAGGAACTAGGGCAGCCCCTCTGTGATACAGAACAGGCCCAAGGTCCCACAGCTCTCGTGACAGGTGGTTTCCAGAGTCTGGGCCCAGTGCTCTTGCAGTTAACTCCCTTCCCCCTGCATAGTACTAGAGCAAGTGGTTTCTCCAACAGGGCACACTGATCTCTAGGACTGATCACTTCATGATAGGGTACCATTTAGGACAGCATACTGTGTACCTGCATCGGGCTAAGCACACTGCATTCCTTATCTCATAGGGAAACCTTAAAAGATGGATACTGTGTATTATCTCCTTTCTGCAGATGGGGAAAGTGAGTTACTAGCTCTGTAACCTTAGGTGATTTGTCCAAGGTCACAGAGTAAGTGGCAGGCCTTCTGGAGTACGAGGCCCTCACATCACACTGTATGTGCTGCCAGTATTCTGCACATTCAGCATGGAAAGCTTTAGTTTAAAAAAAAAAAATCAAAAAAATTTTGGAAGTGCTATAATGTTATAGTCAAAATATGCAGCCCAGCCATAATGGCCTTTTCTTTCTTTGGCCTTTCTGCCTTCCTTATTCATGCCATTCAAGGTGAAATCATCTCTTGGGACTTGCTCAGGGCCACACAGAAAGTAGAGAAGAATCTGAACTAATCCTGTCCAGCTCCAAGATCTTTTTCCTTGCTTCCCTTTGTCAGAGGCATCTCAGGACTCAAATTCTTGGAGGTAACTTCTCCATGACTCCTGTCCCCACCCCTCCCCCAGAAGTTAATGATCTCTAAGGTAAGTTTCTGAAAGTTCCAGCAGAGGCTTAATGTTTAAAAGAAACCTGCCCCCCCTCATCCTTTTGAGATGCAAATAAATACCTTCAGTTAACTTATTAAATTTATTTTACTCTTAATATAGAGGGAACAGAGAGTCACATCTATACAGAGGCTTTAAAATATCACATACTTAAAAGCACCAATAAGCAAGTCCTCTGAATGTGATCAAATTACCGAGACATGTGAATCTGAGGTCCTTCTCATTCATTTGGTTTGGTTCAGTAAATATCTGTTGAGCTCCTATTATGTGCCAGGCACTGGGGAGACAAAATATAATACCATAAAGCCTGACCTTGAGACATTTCTGGTCAAGTGGGGCATAGAAGGGGCAGGTCATAAGCTTTCTGTATAAGAGTTCCCATGGAGGGTGGCGCAGGGTAGCGAAGTTGGTGGGTTCACAGGACACACTGAGGTGTGTGTTGGGTGGGAGGGATGTCACAGAGAGCTAGGTCTTATAGAATCAGCAGGAATTAGCCAGACAGAGGGTGGGTGGAAGGCATTTCAGGTGGAGAGATTAGCATAAACACAAGCATTGAGGTGTGAACCTGCCTGGCTTCAGTATTACTACCTGTAAAAATGAAACTGGGAAAGGACAGGGAGAGCTGAAGCTGCAGCATAGGGTGGCTTAGGGCCTCTGAGGCTAGGAGAGGAATTTACACTCTGCCCTGTGAAGTGGAAATCTCTTAAAGGTGGTCTACACTGGGCCTACCCCCTTTAACATAGCATGTTTCTGGGCTGGGGAACTACCTTATATCCTTACGTATCAGACTCATTTCATTACCAGCTTTTGGAGAGAAATCTAGGAAGAACACAAATACATGGTAAGTAGCAATCACATAGCCCTCTTCCTCCATTTGAACAACTAGGGAAGCCCTCTCTCCACTCAGCCTGGATAAAAACTCAAGCCTCACTCTTCCTCATGCTCTCAACACTCAGTCTGAATGAAGAGGCATGTGGAATGTGGAATCTGGGTTCCACTTAAGATGAAGGTATAGGTGAGAAACAGTCCTTCCAGGTCACACTGTTAGAGTCAGGTGTGTGGGGGGCAAGTCGGATGGGAGAGACACCTCTGCCATTCCCCTGCTGTACTGCCTGATGAAGCTTGTCCAACTGGAAACCTGAATTTTCTGGTTGCTCCTTTCTTGGCCATGGGGAAACAATCATATGATCTACAAAGTATAATGACTTTATATACCTATAAAATAACTATATATCAAAATTACACTCATTTTAAATAATTATACATTATAGACCATTGTTAAATGAATGTGGTCATGCAAAGCATTCTTATTCAGTCCCTAATTTTGGTAGGACCACCCTGAGGTTTCTGTGTGCATTGTTGAATTTTGTTAGCTACATTTTAGCTTCCATTGAAATCATTGTAATTTTTTAAAAAATATGTTTTTATTGATTTTTTAGAGACAAAAGGGGAGGGATGGAGAAATAGAAACATAGATGAAAAATGTCAACCTGCTGACTCCCGCATGCTCCCTACTGGGGGCAGAGCCCACAACCAGGACTTGTGCCCTGATAGGGAATCGAATCGTGATTTCCTGTTCATGGGTCAATGCTCAACCACTGAGCCACACTGCTTGGGTGAAGTCATTTTTAATCGAACAATTGGTATGAGGACTATACTAATGTATTTTTCCATAGTTCATATGTCTTAAGCAAATCATTAATATAGTACCAAGCACTTTCTGTTTTTTCTTGAGATCAAAAATTGTCACAAACATGACTTTAGGGTACAGTCACCCTTCAATATCTTTCTCCCTGAATCAGTTCTCATTTTGTGGGTGAGGAAATTGACTTGGCCAAGATACAATGATTAGAGATAGGTCAAAGTCAGGTGTCCTGTTGATAGCCTCCCCACATGGCAGGCATGGAGTAGGAGGGACAGTACTAAAATATTTCCCCAATCTCAATCATTATGATTAGGATTATGAACTGAAAAGCTGCAGTTTGGGACCAAATGTTTAGGAAAAGTCAGGATGGATACTGGGTGAGTAGGCATCATCAAAGGCAGTTAAGTCTGGAGGCCAAATCTCCAGGGAAGGTCCCTGTCCCATCCTAGTGCACTCTCTGCCTGCCTGCCAGCCTCGGAGAGCAGTGCAGGCTGACCCTGACCAGGTAAGAACCCCATTTCTGTCCTACCAAAATTAAGGACTGAAGAAGAATGCTTTGCATAACTACATTCATTTAACAATGGTCTGTAACTTTTATAAATGTCTAATTATTTAAAATGAGTATAATTATGATATATAGTTATGTTAAAGGTACATAAAGTCATTATACTTTGTACATCATGTGATTGTTTGCTATGAAAAACCCAAACATTTAATTTGGTTGAGTTCTGGGTATAAGCTTGATCAAGTGAGAGACTGGTAATGAGGACAGTGGAAATGCATTTTACTTGTTAAAGAAACTCTCTAAGGAGGTTTTCACGCAGGATGGAAGTGCTGGGATCCTGGGTTGTGAACATGCCTTCCCATAGCTCTCCCCTCCTACATCTGCAGGGACAGAGGTTAAACACTGCCATCTGCCTTACACTGTCCTTCTTTCTGTGAAAGGCAGACACTAGCATGTGCGTTAGAGCAGCAGCTCCTATTCTTTAATGCACCCAACAACCCTGCAAGTCAGATTTTGCAGCGGAAGAAGCTAAGTAAGACTCAAGAAGGCCTAGAAAACTGCCCACAGTTACAAGGCTGGTGGGTGACCCAGCGCCCAGCCCTGCTCCAGGCCTAGCAACCACATTTCTGGCTGAGTTATAGCAGGGAGACCGAGGCTCTCAGGTGGATGCCCTCTAGGAATGCTTCCCTCTCAAGTC